TCCGGCAGTTTTCATTTAGATAGTCTACATTCATGTCGCCACAGATTAAAAATTCAGTTTTTGGATTATACAGATACTTCAGAGTAGCATCTAGTCCCCTTAGAAATTGTTGAAAATTACCTGATGGAGCTCTGTACAGGCTTAATATAACTAAGTTAGCTGTTTTTGTCTCTAGCTGAATTGCACAAATTTCTAGACATTTTTATGTGTACAGCAGAATTAGTTTGAAAATGCTGTTCTTAAGTCATTTTGAATTCTTGTTGCAAAATTTACAGTATGTATCAAGTTATATGTTGCTAGTAATGAGTTTAAATGTTTTTTCCAGCAGTTTTCATTTAGACAATCTACATTCATGTCGCCACAGATTAAAAATTCAGTTTTTGGATTATACAGATACTTTAGAGTAGCATCTAGTCCCCTTAGAAATTGTTGAAAATTACCTGATGGAGCTCTGTACAGGCTTAATATAACTAAGTTAGCTGTTTTTGTCTCTAGCTGAATTGCACAAATTTCTAGACATTTTTAAATTGAAAATCCATTAAACATTTATTCCTCTTAACTGAAAGGTAACAATTAGAGCTACAGTAACTTTATTTGAAATAAATTTTCCATTAAAACAAATGTAAAGTGTAAAGGGAAAAAGGAACACAAATTATGTAAAATAATTCAGAATAGATATTTTGAGAGAAATCAACACAAACACACGATTGCTTCAGCATGGGGTTCAGAAGACGATGGGCAGAAACAGAGACAAATGAAGAGATCTGAATGTTTTCACTGTATCAACTATTAATTTTTTGTACTAAAGAAAGAGTACTATTTGTCATTTGCATTAACTTTAAATTTTGTTGAGTATCATAAAATGAGATATTAGTTCGTGATGTAAACTTAAATCAAACTTCACAGTAAATAGGTAATATAATGCTACTTAAGAAAATAAAGTAGCTATATCATTTCATCTTCAGACTTTCCTGTTACAAATGATGATTACACAGAATGTGGTAGTCATTTGCTTCTTGTATCTACAAACTCTGCAACAATTTGGAAGAAAGAAAACAGTAACATTGTAAAATAACTATTCGTACATGTTTTTGCAGCAACCTAAGGCATCTTCAGACAAATAGTCATCTACCTTGAAATCAACAAGGTACTTACAGTGAGATGTCATTTTATGAAATTACGGTTCCCAGAAATAAAAAAAGGACAAAGAACATTAACAAGTTCTACATCCTTTGGTTGAGTCCTAAGAAGGATCTATGTAATGTAAATAAACTCTACTCTACTCATACCATTGTGCTCACACGTAATACCAACATATTTGAAATTATGTTGACGACTGACATTACGTCTACACCATAATCTAGTCACTTGAGATCTAAATTGTCATATTTAGAGAATCAGTTTCGTTACGTTGGTATCGCGCAATATATATGGACACCGGCATAGATAATACCAACGTAGGACGCCGGGAACGGAATTTGACACCATTTTGTACGGAAGTTGTGTGTTCGTGGGTTCTTTCCAAGAATTACTTTTTCAAAGTGGAAGGATCTGAAAATAAAAGCGATATGTCGTATGGACGAAATGAGTGTAGGATTTATGTCGGAAATCTTCCACCAGATATCAGAACGAAGGATATCCAAGACTTATTTTACAAATTTGGGAAAGTTACATTTGTAGACTTGAAGAATAGACGAGGCCCACCTTTTGCATTTGTTGAATTTGAGGATCCAAGGTAATAAATAAAGTTACTTCATCTTAGTGTAGTTTTCCCGTTACGTAACAAAGCTTCAATTTTTTGGTTTCGTGCAGTGGTTAAATGTATGATATCCCACATACCGATTTATTTTCGAATAATAGTTTGCGTTGTGGTTATTTTTGTTTAAAAACATTTTACTTGTTAAATGGGTGTATTACATTTATTCGTAATGCACAGTTAGTATATGATCCAAGTTACACTTGTTCCTCCATAGATAGAGTTTTCACAATAAGAACCTTTTACAGTAACTTAGTTATCATGTAAGGTAGTGGAGAACCGAAGTTCCAAATATAATTTCATAAATTCCTTGCATTGCACAATGTGTTAAAGATTCATGTAACTGTCTGTGGCCCTTGTACTGTTGCAGAAACTGTCAAATTCTGTCTGCCAGAAATACTTGGTTAACAGTCATTTCTGCCAAAGATTTCACATATGGTAGGTGCTTCATGAAGATAAATGTACATGAAATACCATGAAAGTAGATGGAAGCATATGAAATGAATTTATCTGACTTTGCATAATGTCCAGTGTTAAGGTTTTATGGTGATGGTAAATGATATTGTAGGACGTGGCAGTGATTCATCTCTTTCATGATTATATCTTCTTGCAGGCTCTTTTGGGGTGGCAGTGAACTTTTTATGACTTTCCTTATCAAGGAGTGTCAACACAGGCATGGAATTCAGTTTTGGGTGTGACACATAATTTAAGAGAGGCTGTGACAGCAAAATTACCAAAATCCTTAACGCCATCCATAATTACACAGTTTTCACTGCAGTTACATTGTTAGAGTGGTAAGACTGCTCAGTACATTCTTTGAGATTCTGTTTTTACAGGGATGCAGAGGATGCTGTTCATGCTCGTGATGGTTATGATTACGATGGCTATCGACTGCGCGTGGAGTTTCCTCGAGGTGGAGGACCAGGTGGCTTCAGAGGAAGCAATCGTGGTGGTGGTGGTGGTGGAGGAGGTGACAGAGGTGGCAGGGGCAGGGGACCTCCAGCGAGGCGTTCCCAGTACAGAGTTCTTGTGACAGGTAATATCTGGACAGCACGCAAGGGTTGAGTTTAGTGTAGTGGACTTTACATTCCCATAAGCAATAGACACCGTTCTTTGGTATTACTTATAGTGACATTCATTGAAGTTTAATACAAAAGTAGATTCATAATTCTGACATTATAAGATTGTCATAATTCATTTTGTGGTGCATGTATCATGTGTATATATAGGTATGAGTAGTAGAGAGTTCACCTAAAGCCTAGTTACATCTCATGTATGTGTGAGCATACCTGTTATCAGAGTGAATGCTGAGAGAGATATGACAATGGTATGTTTGCACTTTGTTCACTCTAAGACGTGATGAGGACATGGTAGAAAACTGCTGATTGTTCTGATTATGTGGTATAAATCCTAAAGGGGCTTCTGGCCGCCTTTTATTTTGTGTGCTATATAAATAAACTGTGTATGGTACAAATTTGTTCAGGATTACCACCATCAGGAAGTTGGCAAGATTTGAAAGACCACATGCGTGAGGCTGGTGATGTTTGTTTTGCTGATGTTTTCAAAGATGGCACTGGTGTTGTCGAATTCTTGCGCTATGAAGATATGAAGTATGCTGTAAAGAAGTTGGATGATTCCAGATTTCGTTCCCATGAGGCAAGTATAAAGTGAGAGCTTACAGCTTTACTTGTCCACTTCTTGCACTTGCTTTCAGCTTGCAAAAGCTGTTTTTAATGGATAAGACTTTTCGTATGACATTGGTGGTCTTCTGGGTCGTCACACTGTGTGGACTTTCAGGAAGGTACCAGCATTTTGGAGGAACATTCTGCCTCCATCATCAGGGCTGAAAATGGAAGCATATTTAATTTATCTATAGGTGTGTATAGTAAAACTGTAGGAACAAAGATATATTTGTTTGTAAGTGGTGGCCCTTCATGTTTGCAGGGTGAAGTATCATACATCCGGGTTAAGGAGGACTATGGCGGTAGTGGCAGTGGCGGTCGAGGGAGTGGAGGGGGAGGCCGGTCTCGCAGTCGCAGCTACTCTCCGCGGCGACGTGGCTCTCCCACTTACTCCCCGGTTCGACGCAGCTTCTCCCGTTCGCGATCAAGGTCGCGATCTCGCTCCTACAACTGAACTTCTGCTGTTGCCCGTTGGTGTTCCACCGAGATGAAAATGATGAAGAGATGTAGCTGTGGATAGAGAGATGATTGGTGTAAGACTACCACAGTTCATATTTGGGTCAATTTGCATTTTGAGTTGTGGGGCTAGGGAACAGTTTCAGAATTGAAGTGACATCCACATTGAGTACAGTAAGCATTCCTAGAGACAAAACATCAGAGACTCACTAGTGAATACATCAGATTATCTTTGTTTAACTAATAGGCCAAATTTTATAAGAATTTGTAATGGGCACGGAATGTATGTATTCTTTCTGTCATAAGTTTTAAATTTATGTAAAGGAGTGGTGCAAGGCTTCGGCCTTCCTCTCACTCCATACTCAAATATTGAAGATTGTTCTAATGTTTTTTTTCTTCTCTTTTTTTACACCGTTTGGATAGCAATTGTAAACGGATGTGGCAACGTTTCCCATTAAAGGATGATATCTTAGTAATCACTTGGATTCAAGAGGAGGATAAGGATGGATGATAGGAGAACCAATTTTTTGCATGGATATGGAACGTCCTTGGATTCATTTGGATCAAAGGATTTCCTGCCACGTTGGATGGAAAAGGGACCAAAATATATAAATATAATTCGAATTTCAATTAGTTCGAATTTTTATTGGATTTCTTCGTTGGATTGGAGAAAAGGGATAACAGGATGAATTGGAATTTGGATTTCTTTTCCATGCATTCAAAATGGATTTCCTTGACGTCAGGAGTTGGATCACATGGATTCACGAGGGAAATGAAGCCAGGATTCGGGATAATTTTTTGTCAGATCATTGCATATCTTATGGTTAGGAGGATAAAGCTAATTGTTAATAAAACTTTACACTCAAATATTCTGGATCTCGGGGAGGAGGCACTGGCCAGGATTCTGGACAACTTTGCTGTTGGATTTGTGTTGATCTGCCTACAAGGTCTCAAAGACACTTATTGATTGGCAGTAACGCCATTTGGAGTTGATCCCAACTATTTCAGGATTCTGGGCGGCTTTTCCCCATTGGATTTACGTGCATCTTAGGAAAGGATAAAACTGTAGTGCATTCAAGGAATTTTGGACAACCAGAACAATGGATAATCGTGGGATAAAGAAGCCAGGATTCTGAAAATTTGATGTTGGATTCATACAGACTGTAGGAACTTGTGAGGATTCTTTTGCAATAGGCACCTTTCTGTTGGATACGTTGACGCAGGACGATGCTCTGACTTGCATGACTGGATGGAAGTAGGACCACCATTTAGGGATGGAGGTATGTCTTCACATTTATTTTTATATGTTAGATGGGGTGGGGGGAAAGGGTTTGTGTATAGAACCCACACTTGTATGATACAGGAGTGTCCACTGAAAAAATGCATGTCACGTAGACTAACGTCTAGCCTGCCTTCTTGCTTGATTTGGTACACAGGGCTTGCAAAAACCTATGACCATTTATGGCTGAGAATTTGAATATGATTTTGAAATTGTTGAGTGAGGTTGTTTATCTGTTACTATAATTATCCAAACAGTATGCACATCTTTTCTCTGAATTTTTGCCTAGAAATTACTGGTTGCACATCAGATTGAGGGATTAGATTTGGATAGCGCAGAATATTTCGTATTGGAATGTACAAGGGAGAGCAATGCGAGTAGCACTTTGTTGGCATGAGCGTTTTTGCAATGTCTACATGTGTGAAGTACGAAGCTTGACCTTTAGACTTTCCCTTCTTTTCTTGCAGCAGAAAGTAAGGAACAGGGTGTGTTATCAGTTATCAATCACAGAAAGACAGTCATCACTATGTACAACATTCAGAGCCACACTTTCTTCATTTAAACTGGATTTTCATTACTGTTAATGGTGAACTGTAATTGTTCTGTTAAAGTTCATTTACTAAGCATTTGAATGAACTTGGATTATTTTGTTACATCTTGGGTTTACGCAACGGGACACCAAAGCAGGTACTTACTAATCAAGAAACTGTTGAAACTTGGAGGGGTGGGGGGGTGTTTGATCAGTTTTAAAGTGTTTGTAAATTTATGTAGGCAGTATTTTATGCCTAGAGTTTATGATTTGGAAAGTATTGTTCTCTCCATGAGTTGTGGTAGCACTGTTTACGTTTGTAAGTCAGAAGATTTGTTGTACACTTGAAGAACAGGAGTACGTGTCATCATTGCCAGATCTGCAGTTGATCCATGCTGATAACTTCTTGAAAAAACTGTTATTTTGCCATCTAAAATATCAAAAACTTTGTCATGTGGGAGTATTGAATTTAAATCCTGATTCTATGGGGCTGATGGCTGGATTTCAACTCCACGGTTTACAGTTTAGTGGTATGCTGCAGTGACATACTGCTGGGCGGACTGCTTGTAAGCTGCAACATACAGTCAGTAAACATTAAATGCGTTTTACCATACATACATTTCAGGATCTTTTTATAGTTATTGGGGATTTTTTATACTGTTGATGTTTTTGTTTCTTGTGCCACATGTGTGGCACGTGTTTAGTGCAAGAGTGGGCTCTGCATCTCTCTCCCCTGGTTCAGTTGGTGGAGTGTGCTATGGGTGGCAAAGGACCCATATGTGATCAGCACTCTCCTTCAGGGTCTTATCGTATAAAGATGTTCTCTCATGGTTACTACAAATTACATTTGCTCGTTTCTTATGTAGGATGGAGAGTATGAAATTTGTTTGTTGTGTTGTGATACTGTGATCTTGTAGGTAAAGACCATCGTTTTGGAGGAGTGTACTGCTTCCATCTTCAAGGCTGAAGATGTAGTCTGCATTGCATTAAAGCTTAGCACAAATTACAGCTCTGAAGCCTTCTTCCTACCCTGCCATTATTTTTTCATGCGCAAATCAAGATGGAAACTGACATTGTATTGGTGTAACTTGGTCATATGGTTTCTGAAGCCCTGCCCGCTTATACAGACTAGCTGTTGCATGTTTCGAGGTCTGTAACATAAGTCAGTTTTGCATGGTCTCTTTGTCGTTGGTGATTGTGCCATCTGTTTCTTTATTGCGATATCAGGAGAATGGTGAGTAGAAAGTGTTTAAGCAATTTCCAGGCTTTGTGTTGTTGGGGATTCATTTTGAGGCTGTCAGGGTGTCAAGTTTTTTACAGTCTAAAGCATAAATCTAAAAAATCAATGCTTAACAAGATAGGTGTCTGCTGATACATAAAGTGCATGTGGACCTGAACGACATGACAGAATGGCTGCAAAAATTTGCATGTGTCTGAGGTAAACGGAAGTGAAACAAGGTAAGAATGGAACAGATGCATCATCTAAAGGGTCTACATCATCACATGGAGAAGCGTGTTGGAAAGTGTTCCCTTGTCCAGTAAGTGCTTTTTTTTCATCACATTCCTTACAAACATCCTGTATTAATTTGCTACCCAAGTTTTTACAGTTATAAAATGAGTTCTACAAAATATTTGTATAAGTACAATTTTTTCTACATGTTTTATATTTACGAAGGCGGATCTGGCGGTCTACAGCTGACCTGGCGTGGTGGAATTTGCATTCGGTAGTTTTCCTTCAGTACCATTTTTATGTTGATGTCAAATCATCTTTACAGTTTTTGAAGTGGCCAACACATTTTCCCCTAAAAAATTCTTTGTTGTTGTTTCGTGATTTCCTCATGTAGATCACATGCCCCCCGACTGTAATCACTTTTATTGCGCTAACAATATAGGTGGGAGTGTTTCTAATGTCTTCCAATGTCGCGTAATTTTGCCTCTTGGGTTTGTATTGGCCTTCAGATAATTACCAATATTCTTAATATAAGGGGCATGTCCCATAACCATCAAAACTGTACATATGCAAAGTTTAGTCTGCATCTTAGTGTTCATTGCTTTTTAAAGGCGGTGGAGTTTCTTAAATAATGAATACTGACAAGCATTTCCTGCATTTGTGAAGTTTTAATTGCGATTTTGTTGATGTGAATGTCCACAGCTTCCTGTCATGTGACATTTCTTCCTCTTCCTTTACAGATATGCTGTCTTCATATCCCAAAGTGTCTAATTTAGTTTTGAAAATATCTGTAAAAAATGAAGCATGGTACAATTAAAAAATGTACAGAATTGTAGGAAGGAAAATGAGAAGGGAAGATGTGATCTGGGAGACCTAGGCATAGATGGGAGGAGCTTAAAGAAGTAGAGTTTGATGTTGTGGATTGGATTTATCTGCCTCACTATAGGGTACAATGACTGTCTTGTTTTCTTTTACCATGGGTAGCCTTATACTAAAGCATTGAAGGGACGCACCACCAAAACTCCAGTTGTATGACAAGCAGCGCTAGTAATAAGAACGGTTTCTACCGGGCGTAGGCTATGACAGATAATTTTTATTAATTTCATATAATTCAATGTATTTGAACCTAATACTTCACAGTGATGAACATACAGAAGGTGACCTAATTCACTAAATTGTCTGTACATAATAATCAAATGTGAAGTGGTAATGGATGGAAATACAAATTATAATTTGAATATTAGATGGTTTGAAGTTTGAATTACAATACTGTAGTTGAGTGACAGATTCTTGTGAATACAGTAACAAAACTTGGGCTTCATAGGGTCTAATTGAAATGCGTCAATTATGTTCATTGTAATTAAAAATACGAGAAGAGAAGGAATGATTTCCAGCGATCTGTGTTGCTCTGCTGCTTCCTACTTGCATTCCACATTGTGTGAATTGCAGCATCTCTTAAATTGCTCAGAACATAAGTCGGTACCATGCATTAGGTCTGCTTGTTTAATGTAGATTTAGTTTGAAAAAAAAATACACATTTTTTGCATCTTGCTTGCTGAATTCTATCGATAATTTCAGCTATTCTTCGTAACATTTGCATGTTACTGAATATTCTAGTTAGTACATGGCACTGTGAGTAATTGCAGTGTCAGATAACACTAATTTTGCAGGAACTTAGGGACATTTCAGCTACTGTGTTTTAGAAGGATGTTGACAATCATTTTGAGAACACAGCGATGTAATCTTATAAGTACCCAATTCCAGGATGTTATTACATAGAACAAACCTGACTTTTTCATTTTCAGAAGTTCAAAGTATTTTGAATGGAAACAAATGTAAAATTGCCATTAATAAACAGAAATTAATCATAACAGTTTGCTTAAGTGTTCTTTTGTTTTGTACTGTTCTTCCTGAAATGTATCCGAAAAGGAACATTTCTGACATAATTGAGAAAGAAGTTGAATAGTATTCCTACTAAATTAAGAATTTGTGATTTATGTTAGTAAAGCGTGAAATATCTCAAACCATGGACTGATGAAAGTATAAAAAAATTTCATTATTAATTCCTTGTACAAGTCTTTGTGAGTTGCATGATGAGGTGTGCAGGTGATCTGTTGCAGAAATTCATTCTTGTTCTCCAAATGGCCATTTCTTCCATCTTTATGGAATTGAAAGATTTTTGCCATTATAGATTTCTGAGGTTCTGGAACAATTGCAGCAAACCTGCAAAAAAGAGATGGAATCAAGCTGAACTTTATTCTTTTAGGTGACCTTTTACCTGTAACAGAATACAATTCATTCTATGACAAGGGAGCATAAACAGCTGTACTGTTTTTAGGTTAAAAAACAGGCGAAATCTGTTGAGCAATGCTATGCTTGTAGACGAACACACACAAGTGTGCCAAAAGAATTGTACATTTATAATGGAGGTATTAGGTGTCTGTGGGTTGGGCTGTTTAGATATGCTTTGAAATATAATTTTTGGCAACATTTTGTATGCATTTATATTTTCTCTTGTGATTGCTGTTTGTATGAATCATCCACTTCGAGTTCAAGTTATGAAACGCCTCAGTCTGTAATCTAAATATGGAATATGTTACAAAAGTCAGCCGTGCGTGAACCTTTAACTGAGACTGCAACAGGTTTTGAGAAGTGTACCCTCTGGTAGATGCATGGGCATTATTCTAGAATCTCAAGATTTGTTCAGTAGTTTTATATTTAATTATAGTTCATTTAACAATGCTGAGTGTAGAATGATAATTCACAATGAATTGGAGTGGATGTGGAAGGAAGTGGTCATGACCTGTGTGAACTGAGGAGAACTATGAAAAACTCAATATAGCTGGTGTGCGGGCTGAGATTTGAACCTGGGACCTCCAGAATATGAAGCAGTTGTGCTGATCACTTGGTAATAGTGTTTGTATGCGTACAGTTGTTGGTTGCAGTAATTGTGGCCAGATCAGCAATAATAAAGACTTGTGTCAAGAAGTTGGTGTTTTCATTTAATTGCGCTCTTAAAATCCCTTCCAGGTCCAGTCAAAAACTACCTTTGTGAAGAGGATTGCATTATGCTAACCAACAGTGCAGAGCAAGAAGTCAAGTTTTGCACTTCCTCTGTGTCAGTAATGTTTCATAGCTTGAGATTTGTCTTCTTCAGCTGATATTTTACAGAAACCATTCCATGCTCTTATTTCTCCAACTCGGATGCTGTGGTCCTGTATTGATATAGTTTCATAGTGGGTGAGATTACAAGGTAAATTTCTTTGTATGAAGGCAGGTCACTCTTTACCTGGGATTGTTGTTTCTTGTAAACGACAGTGGATCATTGTCATATGTATACTTGGGCGGGGGATACCTCAAGAAGGCTGCCTAATGTGGAACAGATAAAGGTGTAGTTTTTATGTTCCCACAGTGATACCAATTCTATGTGGTTTTCTAGTGGATAGGTCCTGTCTAAAACCATATTGTTAAGTAACTAAACATTTAAAATTATGCATCACTGATTTGCAGATAATGCTGGATTTGACTCCCCCCCACCCTATTTCATTTTCTAACTGATGCAAAGTGTAGATATGGGAAGATTCCTGTAGTGACTGAATGGTTTTACATGGTTTGTCTCATGAGATACTTCACCATACCCAGTTGAGTGTACTTTTAATCGAGTGTCAATTACCAACTCTAAATGAGTAGGTTAGATTGGAATTTTTTGAATGCAACACATTGGTACAACTGAAGTTGAGGTTTTGAGAGGAAAGTTCAGATTCAGGTTTGAAGTCTGTCATGTTTACTTGGGCCCACAATCACAGTATAATTCATTGGAGTGCACCTGTGTGGATGTACTATAAACTATTTGGGAGTGCTGTGGGGGCCAGTGCTTTATGTTACTTTCATGTCTAAACATTCTTTCTTCAACAAAAAGTAAAGTTGTGTAAAAGGGAAGTGGCTTGTGGTGATGGGAAGTGCCCAACCAAAACTTCAGCTCAAGGTGAGTGTTAACATAACCCAATAATAGATATAAATTACATAAAACAGGATGCCAGGTCTCATAACCACTTCCTGCTGGTTGCTATTGACATACCACATTCAGTACTTTAAAAAAATCATCTTGCTTTGGTAACTTAAGTTAAGTTACTAGACGTAATTGTTGATACAAAAGAATACAGAATTATGATGGTGTTCCTGAACAAGTCTTTCTCATTCATAAAGGCAAATGTGACATCCCTACTTATTTGACTTCATAAACGCACATCTTGTATATGATGTGTTGGTAGGTGGTAACAGTATCATATTAACAAAATAACAAGCCTATATGATGTGTAACTTTTGAATCAAAATTTGAAGCAATTTCATCTGAGCTGAATTAAATAAGATTAATTATGTCTGCCATGCAGAAGTTATGTGTTTCTGGTTCACAATTTTCTGATGTCTTTCGTCCGTTAGCTCACCTTGATGAGTTCCAGTTGCAGCAATTTATTTGTTCTGGAGACTTCTGTCTTTCTGCTAACCTTGAGGGTGAAATCATGTTTATTTGACATTCATTGTATTTATACATGAAGAAATGCTACTTCTGTCTTGCATAATATTTTTCTTCATATGTGTAAATATCCATGACTTCTTACTTTCGCCTAATTGTAGGCCTCTTTACATGATGTACTTGATATCCATGATGGATTGAGCAACATTTAAAGAGTGTTTACACAAGAAAAGTAAATGTTCTGGGGCATTTTTAGACAGAGGAGTTCACCTTCCATATTCCAAAACATTGATTTATACCTATAATTTCACATAGTGTTACAATCCATAAGAACATCTTCACCCCTGTTAGAACCTCTTATCTCAAATAATTATGTTTTCATGCAGTTTTAGTTTCCACTACCATTTATTTGAATATTCTATGCCAGGCAATAGCTACACACGTCAAAACATTAAGAAAACACCCATTGCTATAATCTGTATGAACAGGTGAGCTCCATTGTGAATATACTTGAGCCTTGCAAAGGACTTGTGACAACTCAGTATATGTTGTTCCTTGAGTGATATCACCAATGAATCAAAGTGTTAGGGAAGGAATGATGTCTTGAATTTTAAGATGCCAACTTATGCGTTATGTCTCAGGAGCAATGACCTGGCATATTAACTGATTTAGCAGTCAAATTATAGAAGCTACAAACTGTTACAACATCAACTTCCTGTCTGTAGAAAAGCTGTGGGAACCCCAGACCACAGTACTGTTGAACAAACAAGGAAGGTGTTGTTTTTTCCTGTGGTGGCACCACATCCTAAAAACTACTTCATGAACAGAGCATAAAGACTGTCCCATGCACGTCAACAGCTTCAGTTCTTTGCAGTTGTCACAGGTGAGTGCTTGTTGCTAACAGCTGTTCTTTACACATTATTTATCACATCAGGATCTATGACATTATAATGTTTAACTTCTTTAATACTGATTTTTTTTACATAGATATGAGTTATAAATTAAATTTATGGAAAGTCAAGAAGTTGACAGATTTCAGTGATGATGTCACATCTTAACTGTATTCAAGGCAGTAGAGGTCAGTAAGTTGAAAGGTGATTTATCTAGATCGGCATTGAAAGGGTTAAGAAAGCAAGAAAAATCATAAAAACTTTGAAATAAAGTGATGATCGTATTTGGGTGATGTCCAAACTGAAGTTGGTTTCAACAGTTTCCCAAAATTTAACAGACGTTTTGGAGTAGGAAGATTTGTTGGCATTGGGATCATAAGAGTTGCTTTTCATTATATGTATGTGAATAGGATATTATTAACTCACAGAAGATGATATAAATGTATATTCATAGGAATGTCTTCTGGCATGTTGCACTGTGTAGCCCGGTAGACATTGACTGATGTTTCAAACGAGCTTACCATCTCTGGCCTTGACGATGGAGGCAGTAAGGTTCTCTGAAACAACGGTCTGTATCTGCCAGACGACATGGTACATCTCAAAAGACAACCATTTTCATACTTATCAACATGAGAATCAAAATCTCTATTCTACTTATGGAATTCCTTCAGTAGAACATTACTACAATCAGCTAACTGAAATGTTGTAGTTATAAAGTAAAGTAAAAAGTAAACCTGTCCCACTATGCGCCATGTAGGAGTTTGGGGGGAGAGAAGGTATAGCTCCTACTCGGCACTAACTTTGCAAATAAGCTACTTAATTATTCATTTAAGGGCTGTTGCTGTTGGCAGCCATTTTCCTGAGAGATTATTCCACTATTATGGTATCAAGGTTATCATGGCAGTGTAAATGACAGTGTTTTTCTTCTGGGTTGTGACACCATGTAGACTTGTACAAAGATACCAATGTTTCAGAGCAACATACTGCCTCCATCTTCAGAAATTCAGTATGTTTCTCTGAAGTGTTGGTGTCCACGTATTAGTCCAAATGGTGTCAAACCATAATACCATTGTCATCTGCTCTAGTATTGTATTAAATATCCTTTAATAGAGTGAAAAATCTATTGTGTGTGTTATTGCATAATATGCTGATCTTGAGTAATAAATCTGCTTTGATCGTAGTGACAAAACGTCCACGATGTCGAGACCAGCACAACCGCAGGATCTCCTGCTCATGTTCGATCGGCCGACTGAGCCAATCTTCATGCCCAAGGGAGACAACAACAATGTTGCTTTTGATGTTCCTCCAGCTCTCTTGGTGAGTAGAGTTCATATGTTTTAGTATTGGTGATACATGCTACAAGCAAGAACTGATGCCAAAATCCAGCCTTGGCCTCCTCCCTTGTAGGAGGTTTCTTTGTCTTTGAAGGGTGCATCTGTGAGTACTGAGTGACAAGCCCACTGCCTCTGCACAATTTCCACTCAATCCTGATTTGTCTGCTAGAGCAATCTAGTAGTGAATCAGGAGAGACTTGGGTGAGAAATGGCTACTGAATTTTGCTTATGAAACATCTCATATCATGCTCGCGAGGTTCTTTTACATGCAGTAAATCTACGGCATGGGACCATGGGCTTTACTTCCCCTCCGAAGTAAGTCGTGCTGTGAATATTTATCACCCTTAAGAATCCATCAACCTCAGCCGGGTTTGAACCCGCGAACTTTAGGTCCAGTGGCGATCACACTATCCACTAGTCCGCCAAGGTAAATACTACCATAGTTTATCATTAAAGTGGACTCTTCCTAACTAATAATTAGTAAGTTTTAATTTGTATTGCATCTTCATAATCCTAGGCAGCTAGTGCAGTGAGTCAAACAGTTCTCATGATATATGGAATCTACTACTGTTGGTTTGCAGGACAACCGAATCAACGCAGATGCAGGCCTGGTGAACAGGCTTGGTGCAGGAGAGGCCGATCAGCATGTTCAAGTGAAAACTATTGCTCTGCCTGACCTATCCATTCCCCAGACTCTGGCCCGCGACCAGAACTTCTCTCTGTTCATCCCATTACACCGGAAAGCTGCAGGCCGTCTCATCGAAATCCTGATGGGTAGGAGCATTTTAACTTACTGAGAAAGCTGCGTAATGATGAGCTTAAAAATTTGTGCTCCTCCCCAATATTGTCAGGGTGATTAAGTCAAGAAGACTGAGATGGGCGGGGCATGTAGCGCACATGGATGGGGAAAGAGGTTTTCACTGGGTATTGGTCGGGAAGCCTGAGGGGAAGAGACTGCTGGGGCAACCTAGACGTAGATGGGAGGAGAATCTCAGGTGGGATTTATCGGAGATAGGAGTTGAAAGAGACTGGATTTTGTTGGCCTAGGACAGGGTCCGGTAGAGGTCTTTGGTTAATTCGGTGATAACCTTCGGGTCCATAAGCCATCTAGTTAGTTTTAGTTAGAGATTTACTAAATAGTTCTACAGTTTTTGAACATTGCATAAAAACTGAATTTCTGCTTCATTATGCAGTTGAAGTCTCATTGCCCAGGAGTTAGCTTCACTCTTGTTCGTCACACTGAATTCTCTTAGTATTATGTAGAACATCAAAGAAGAATAAATAAAATGTTTTAGTTATGACCATAGATTGTCTGAATGTCAAACATATAAACATAATTTTGATGTGAAGAGGAACTTACAGAATCCATGTCCTGTGAGAATTCATTTATTAAATTCTTAGGTGTTATGCTAGGAGACACAAGGCAAATGGGATGCAGCCTCATTCACCCCAGACAAAATAATATATCACAAAGCCAGTAAGTCATTTCTAAATGTTACAGGAATGCGGAACATTGATGATCTGGTGTCAATGAGTGCAGCATGCCGTGAGCGTGTGAACCCATATCTATTTAATTATGCCCTGTCAGTGGCCATTCTGCACCGCCCTGACACCCGTAACCTGCAGATACCTCCACTATTCGAGTCATTTCCTGACAAGTTTATGGATGGGGCAATCTTCAACCGGGCAAGGCAGGAGTCTGAGATCTTCCCTTCTGGCTCCAGGGTATGTATTTATAAGCTGCAGATAGATTTAACTAAGTTTTTCATTTTTACTGTACCTTCCATATTTGACAAGGGAGATGGGACATGGCGTGCCTGTGCAGTGGTAAGGTTCAATATTAATAGTGTTGAACCTTTGGGTTTTTTATATCTAATTGACTTCATACTTACTGTCATCACCTACCCACATCTTATATTTGCTCCAAATAAGAAGTTATTGAATTTAATAATCTCAACAGCAACCACTGGAGATCCCAGTGGACTACACAGCGTCAGACCTAGACATAGAACACCGCCTGGCATACTTCCGTGAGGACATGGGCATCAACCTGCACCACTGGCACTGGCATCTGGTTTACCCTTTCAGTGGGCCTCGCAGTCTCGTGGACAAGGACCGGCGTGGGGAGCTCTTCTACTACATGCACCAGCAGATCATTGCAAGGTGATGATTGCAGAATCATATGAATTAAAATAAAACCTTACTATGGCTGGCCTGTGGCTTGATTGATTGTGCCCAGCTTTTGTTTCTTTGTGCGTCTTTCTTTTATTCAGTCATTTACAACTGTACTTTTCTTCCTATATGTGTCAAGAGCCGTTCTGAGTGGATAACGTTCTAAACTGAAATGTAAGAACCAGACCGTCTTCACATTAGACCTCCTAAGTAGTAGATATGATTGTATCATCCAGTCACAGAGCTGGCTGTGTGCATGCATTTTGTCAGATGATGCTTCTCCCTCATCAGGTACAACTTTGAACGGCTGTGCAACAGTTTGGCCCGTGTTAAACGTTTCCTCAACTGGCGAGAACCCATAGCAGAGGGCTACTTTTCTAAGCTGGACAGTCTCGTAGCAAGTAGAATCTGGCCTCCACGCCATTCCAATGCTACTATCAGCGTGAGTGATATGTTGTCTTGAATACTGAATCATTCATGTTAAAGTGCAATGAATCATTTTGTTGTTTAACTAATATATGTTGAAGTTAATGTTGATGTTGATGGAGTTGATAAAATAATATATTTTGCTGTTACTACAATAGCCAGCGGCATTTTGAAAATACATAGCTTGGATCTTGAATTTTGGTTGAGATTGAATGGGCTCTTTGCTCTTTGAATACTAAAAGTTATACCCCAGATCAGGTATTTGTTTTCATCAAGACAATGTGGTATAAAGGTATAATCTGCTGTACAGGATGTGAACCGAGAAGTTGATCAGCTCCAGGTGGACATAGCAGACTGTGAACGCTGGAGGGATCGCTTCTATGATGCCATTCATCAAGGCAGTATATTGATGGTAGGGGCAAGCAGTCCTTAAATAATTGTCAACAGCCACTTTCTTCTATTCATTTTGGTTAACCAGCAAATTAGTGATGAATCTGAGAACACTGCTGTTTTTGTTTCTGCTTTGCATCCTGAATGGGAGAAAGCAGCTTGAAGAAGTTGTGTCTTGTGTACAGTCTGAACTATAAAAACATTAGTTGGGTGCAATCACAATGTACTGAAGCTTTATGTGCTCACATTTTTACTGGTTACAGTATGACTGACACATATTCTGCATTATATAAGCATAAATACAAGCGAACCTGTAGTATCTCACATGCAGTGATTTCAGCTGACAATTGGCTCTGTTTTAGCCGAACGGAAACCGCGAGTTGCTAACTGAGGAGAAAGGCATTGACATTCTGGGCAACCTGATGGAAGCAAGTATCCTGTCGCCAAACATGAATGTGTACGGAGATCTGCACAACATGGGACATCTTCTAATATCGCTCTGCCATGACCCTGATGGGAGAAATCTGGTAAAATTGCCCTCTGTGACCTGGATTATGCACCCATCTTGTAAATATCTTCTGTCCATAACATGTACTTAGATGTGTGCCAGTATGAGACGGTCAGAAACCATGGAATTCCTGAATATTAGTGGACTAGAATTGGAGAGGTACAAACACACATCAGGTGGTTGCAGAAGTTAGGTAGATAGTACTAGTAAGTGAAAAACAAACGCAAATTTTGATGTGGAAAGGTTTAATCTCAAAAGCTAAATAACGTTGAGGTTAAAGAAGAGTATCAGGTAGAAAAATCTGAACAGTTTGTGTCTGTGGCAAAACTTTGATGATTATGAGGGAGACTAAATATTCAGAATGACATTAAAATTTATCTTTAAGGAACAGATAGGATATTAGGGTGTGGACTGGATTGTTTCAGAACAAGATCGAAGGGCAGGCTCTTGTGAACATATTACTGAACCTTTGGCAGGTAATTAGTTGAACAGATGAGCAACTGTTAGCTTTTAAAGAAGGTTTTTTGTTTCATGGAGTTCATTCCCTGCAATTCCCGTAATTAAAAAAATCTGACTGCTCATTACTTATATGTGCATGGAGCTTCGTCCTTGAGAACTCAATATTCTTTCAGTTCATCAAGAAATTTCCTTCCTTTTATGTAAGTCAAACGTTTATTATTGCATTCAGAAGCGCTTAGCACAAGACCTTTGCCGAGTGAGACAAATTGATTCCAGACCCTCATGGCCTATTTCTAGGCCCAGATATCTCTAGTGGTGCCTTCTCTTTCAGGTTTTCAATTGAAGTTTTGTAAGCTAATTTCATCTCGTTCATGCATGCTATATGCCCTGCCCATGTCATTCTCCTTGATTTGATCACCATAACAGTATTTTGTGAACATTACAAATTATGAAGCACCTTGTTCAGGTTCCTCCATCCTTCTGTTGGTTCTGTCTTCAGCGCCTTCCTCTCACGAACGCTCTCAGTCTTTAGCCTGGAGCCTAGAAGACGACAGAGTCTGAGCCGTTGCTTGTACCATGTAATTTTTCTTTACATTACTAACTTTCAGAATTAAGTTGCTTTAATGGGGCTTATTAAATTGTCATATGCAACACAATTCTCAGAAATCAAAGAACGAATACATTAAATTTGTCACTGTTAAATTCTCAAAACAGATCAAGTGTACAGAGCAGAAGAGAACATCTTTTTTTTAAACACAATGGCTGGTGTTGTCTTGCAGGAAACATTCAGTGCGATTGGTGACCCTGCAACAGCCATGAGGGATCCCATCTTCTACCGCTTGCATTCTTTTGTGGATGACATGTTCCAAGAACATAAGTCAACGCTGCCTCGCTATGAGACAAACAAGGTGAGTTATGGAGGCCCTGCTACAGTTCATGACCCCTGTAGTGGCACTTGATCACTTGTTCAGGAGAGTGGAAGCTTCCAAGAGCACAGTACAGTACGCCACCAGCCTGCATTCTTCCCTCTCATACACATCCCAGTTCATTTTTAATTATTTCATGAAGCTGTATAGCACTGTAGCCTGTTTTTGATAATCTAGTATGTTAATATTCAATCCATGTGTCAGTATATACATTTTTTTACTCATTTTCATGAGGGCAAGACATTGATGTAAAAAATGGATCAATTTTAAAATCCAGCTATATTACCAACATCAGTAACATTACATCAAAATAACTTGTTGCATGTCGGCCAGAAGATGGTAATCTGACTTTTTTGAGAAACGTGTAACCTCAACAAACCCAAAGCAGATGAAACGTAAAGTGGGTGTCACATTTCAGTCACTTTTGGTCTCTGCTGCCAGTAACATCTAATTACAATTTCACAGGTTCCCTAATCATAACATTTATATTAGGAAAATGTGAGACAAGATGAGATTACAGAATTGTTTTTCTGTTTCTCTTTTTTAATAATGCCTGGCTTACTAGTGTTTGTTGTGGTGCTGCTTCTACTGTTTCTCTTTGGTCTGTATTCCACAATTTGTTACTGTTGAACCAAACACATTTCTAGACATACTACTATTAATTATCACCCTTAATGAACCTCTCATCTTGCAGCTTGTATACAATGGAATCACTATTCGTTCTGTGGATGTAGAGACACCTGGTGCGCCAAAAAATGAGCTCAGAACGTATTGGAAGAAAGATGATGTGGATCTTTCCCGGGGTATTGACTTTACTCCACGTGGCAATGTGTTTGCACGGTTCACTCACCTCCAGCATACAGATTTCACGTACAAGATCCAGGTATGTGATTATATGAGGATGTGACCACCCATTCCTAGAAATATGTAACAGACTCATGGAAGGGAGACTGCTGTGCCATTGGTTGCAGGTCGAGAACAGCACGAACAGCCCGAAGGTGGGCACAGTGAGGATTTTCTTGGCACCCAAGTTTGACGAGCGAGGTGTCAACATGCTTTTCCGGAACCAGAGGCTTCTGTTCATTGAACAGGACAAATTCACTGTCACATGTAAGTTAGAAAGTGTTTGAGTGGACAGTAACTGTAAGAGTTGTTTAGTGAAGTCTCTTACTTTTAATTTGAAAGTATTAAGAAACAAACTGCCCATGAAAATATTTGTACCTAAGACAGAAAAAGTAACTGAACTGGAGTAAAGGTCAAGGTACAATCATTTGTGGTGCCTGATGAAGCACCATACCATAAAGACGTGTGCGAGAGTGGAGGTATAATTCCATGCATTCTTAATCTCAGCACCAGATGGAGGACAGTGATTGAGCTTTATTCTTTGGCCACTTTAACCCCACAGATGAGCCCCATGCCCACTGGATAGGATGCTGGGTGGTCCCCAGACCTGGTCTGGACATTGCGACAGAGAAAAAATTGTTTGGGACTTAGCGTGGGTTGTTCAGCCTGTAGCGTATTTGCTATACTGACTGAGCTATCCTCGCACTTTGGGAATGCAGAACTTTATACGACAAGGAATTTCAAAATTATTGGGCTCAGTAGGGCTGTTGGACAGAGTGTTGGGGCAGACCCCCAAAGCCATTCTGGATGTTACTATTATGAGAAAATTGTCAATATCCCTGTTCAAAATAAAACACTGGGTCCATCCAGGGCTGTCACAGAAGTTTCATGCTTTGTGTTTTACTTTTAAAAACAAAGACTAATTTTTTATAAAGTGCCAACAAACACTAACATAGACCCATGGGCCAAGACAAAAGCATAATTCCATATAGAGTGATGTGTATATATTGTATTTCAAACTGGGTGCATACATGACTAATAGGCATGAATTTCTTACTGAATATTATTGTAATGTGATACCACACTGATATTATGCAGTGAAGCCCAAGTCAAACACCATCGAAAGGAAGTCAACTGATTCTTCACTGACAATACCATTTGAGAGAACATTCCGAGAGCTGCAGAGAAACAGACCAGGTGGGGGTGTTTCACTGGAACAGTTCAATTTCTGTGGATGCGGCTGGCCACAGCACATGCTTCTCCCCAAGGGTACCCCAGAAGGCATGCCCTGTGAGATTTTTGTGATGATCTCCAATTTTGATGATGATAAGGTAAGTCCACAGCCTTGAGAACTCTGCATGCTGTGAAGTTGTATTGTACATGTTCCAGCAATTTCTGTGGAATATTCTGTATTCTTAGCCCTTTCTAGTTCAGTCTCAAGGTGCCCTTGATAACGCATTTTACTCCATTAGGTACAGTGTCATGTTTAACTTGACATGCAATTTCATAAAGATTTTTTTGCTCTTGTGCAAAGACTTCTGCTGCCATCTGTCAGTGGTCGTATGAATTATTTTACATTTCCTGTCAAAGAACTCACATTCATCAGTGGAAATTATTGTGATTTCATAATTTAAATCACCTCAAAAACAAAATGCACATTGGTACCCAAGCAACAACCACGTTAGTTTATTTTGCCATCTAGCAACCTGGCTAGAATGTTGAAAGGTAGATATGGTTAACCTTTAAACGACGGGATTTAAATGGCAAAGCGGTAGCAGCCCTACGGAGTTTTTTTGCAGGTTTTTAAACTTTTGTGCATGCTCTACGGAAAACTTTAATATTATCTAAAGTAAACATGATAAATTGACGAAATAAAAGCCATATTTATTCGGATAGAACACAGAATACAGAGTTTTTTTTTAAAAATGCAGTTAATATCTTCATTGCCTAAATAGGCCTTAGTAACTTTACTTTCTTCTTTGGAAGCTCATTTGACATGGTAGAAGCCATGGTTGTGAACTAATGACCACACAGAAAAATTTGTTTCCCCTACTTCAGAGGATACACATTCTTTTCACCCATCATGCCGAGGAATGTGAGAAGTTTTGAATAGAGGGTCTGAAAATGAAGCCGAAACCCACTTAACAATAACAATGTTTATTGCTGTTTATGGTTATAGCTCAGGCTGACCTTGTGAAAACCCTAGAGAAAGTGAATCAATGTTTGCAGCCTCTAAAACAGGCCAAAAGACATAGCCAAGTCTACTTAGAGTGTTGCAAGATTTGCGTTCCGCACAAGGACCGTTCCTAGGGCTGAGTACACAACTTACGTCCCAGACAAGGAACGTCAGTAAGATAAAGGTTAAAGAAGTAAATAAGATAGAAAGCAGTGATGATGATGGCAAAGAAGAAGTTGAGAAAAATATCAGATCTGTTTAATAATGCAGCATCTATAGTTGCAAAAATAACTGTACTGTGTGCAAGGACATTTCACATAACTCTTGCTCATTGGTTTGCAGATAAACCAGTCTACAGAAGGTTCATGCGCTGATGCTGCTATTTTCTGCGGTATCAGGGACAAACTGTACCCTGATAAGCGGTCCATGGGTTACCCATTTGATCGCATGCCTCGTGACGGTGTCAACACTCTGGCAGATTTCCTTACACCCAATATGTTCGTTCGGGATGTGAGCATCAGATTTACAAACCAGACTGTTGGGGTGCAAGGTGGCGACGAGCCAAACCGGCTCAACTGATGAGCATCAACTGCTATCTGCAACAACGGAAATGACCAATGCTTTGTTTAGGTTAATGCTTCAGGACCACGGTGTTTAGAATCACAGCCTATGTTGTAGAGAATACACAAGTTTGATTCTTACTTAAAAAGTTGTCAGAAAACATGTTATGTTCTATTTGCTACTCCACTGGAGTACATATTGTGGAATCTGAACATAATTTAGTAGTTCCTTTGTGTAATATGTAGACTTTATTAAATATAATTTAAAACAATATGTTTAACTGTTTTGGATGTTTGATTGTTTTATATTCATAATCTTTATCATGTGAAAAGGGAGGCATGTGGTGGCCTTATCTTTTAATTTCCTTGTGTTGTAATTGACACCAGTTAGTTTGTGCCTGTGGTCACTTCTCCATACATTTTGCCTTGCTTCCCATTTATCCCTTTGTTATCCTCACCATCTGCCACTGCAACAGGCAATACAGACTAAAACTGGACTTTTCACTTGTAGCAAATATGAGTAGACATTCCAATTGAGAAGAATGTCTGTTGCCAATATTTGTTAATTATAGAGGCTTGTCTGTATCTGTATGACTTTGTAATATCCTGCACATAATAAAGAAGACAGTAGTTGCAGAGACTCTTCATTCCTGGATTCATTACTTCATGCGACCTGAAGAAAATGGGTTGGTTACTTTGATTTGGTTTCTTTATAACCCATTCCTCTTGCATTAAAAAAATTACTTATTGAAATTATCAGTCATAATATCTGATCTCTGGACTGAGATACAAGCCTGAGATCATCTGAATATGCAGCGGAAGCTCTGATCACTCAGCCACGACATTTGGCGGGAATTTCCAAAATCTGAGGCACCCGCCACAACTACAGCCTGCAAAATGTCTCCCACATGATAGGTCACTACATGTTCAGATACTGCCATCACTAAATACTCTGTCTTTAGAATGATGTGATAACTCCAAACTGGACCTCTGAATAGATGTGTATATGAAATTAAATTAAGATCACGCAAGACACCAGAAACTGAAATATGGTTCATATTACTCTGATTTTGACACTGTTACATTCTGATGCTTCTTGACCAAGGGTCAGAACAAGCAATTGATGTTAATACTTTCTTATTATTTACATTCCTTCACTGTATAATTTTAAATAAGTCTTCTCCAGAATCAATGAAAGACAATCCAAGAAGTAAGAACAGTCCCATAAGTTCCCTTGCGCTTTATAAAGTACACTGTGATAGATTACACTACTGTCCACCCCAAGTGTCAGGAGTGGCTGGAGTAGATTCGGATTAGGTCTCCTACATCTGCAGGATATTTGGTCACTGGACAGCAATGGTTGTCCCGGATGTACTGCACAATGCAGCGGTAGCAGAACACAAACCTGTGAAGAAACACATAAAAGCAGAAAGGTGTATTTGAACTCGGACTAGAGGTTCTTTGTAGATTGCGGTCTTCTGGCTTATTACTCCGTGTAGTCTTCAAAGTATCTACATCTTGAAAGTGGAGGCAGAATCCTCCTCTGAAATGTTGGTAACCATCTGCAAGATTATATGGCATCATAACCTACAACAGAATTCCACTTTTCACTGTGTTCCCTGTGATTTTGCATACCTTACAGTCCTTTACATTCATTTATTGCAGATATAAATTTACTGTTACAAAGCTCAGCATTCTGCAGAGAATTAAATCATCTTTCACTGTATTTAATTCAATTTTAATAACATTGAAAAGTGTTTAAAACAAAATTTAATTTGTAGATCTTGAAGAGATCCATATTGTAAGTCATGTACCATTTTTTTAAATAAAACACTTGGCTTGAGTTTTATGCAAAGCTCAGATTGTACTGGATCAAAATTAGATTTGCTCAACAGCTTTTAGTGGAAACCACCATAACAAATTTCATCTAAATGAATTCAGGAGATAAGAAATATGGAAGGACACATATAACCTGCACACTTACATCATACAATTTTTGTGCAAATAATATATAACAATACATACTTTGTCTATTTATGAATGCACATAGTGAAAAGGTTAATTAAAATATTAATTCAGGGACCAACTTACCCAGATACAGACAGTACAGTTTCAATCTTCCAGTTTTGGAGACATATTGGACACACTCTGCCATATTGCCTTGCCTCGGCTGACACCTGCACAGAGAGGTAAGAATGTCAGCTCATGCAGATCCAAATTATATGACTTCATGTAATTCCTGTGTATAAGGCACTCCACAAGTGATTATGAAGCCCTGAACTGTTCAAACAATTTCCCGTTATTTTGAAACTGGAGATCGGCATCATCATCACTCAGCTCTATTCAGAGCCACTCCAATCCGGTTAATCTTGTGATTTTAATGTGAAAGCAAAATCATAAAAGCAGTCAAATAAACATAAGGTGATAACATACAGACCACATAAAATAAAACAGATTTACCTTACAAGGGGGAGGGACAGGTAGGGCAGTGAGACTGGTGCGCAGCTTGTCCTCTGAATGCCACCACTGCAGGAACTGAAGGAAAAACGCTCCAAACTCCAATGTGTGCATCAGCAGGTAGCCCACGAATTTTGCCGACAGAAGCGGGAACCTACACATAAAGCAATGTTACCATCAGAAGTACACAAGCCCTTACTTCTATGGTGTAGTCTAGGAACAAACCATACTTGGACTCATGTGTCTGTTCAGGTGTGTACTGCAGTGTGACACCAGCCAGGTGGAGGAGTGGTGAATGGCTTGCAGTGCTCCCATTCATGTAGCAGAGGTAGTTCCCCAGCACACAACCCTCCCACACCGAATGCAGAACTGAATGGAGTCGCACCCAGCCCTCAGATGTCCCCTGTAGTTGGTACTGTGTCACTTTGTCCTCCAGCTTGGTTCGAAGGTATGGAACTACACACAGACACAGCAAAGAGACGGCCTCCTCGTGGGGTGGCAGCCGAGGGCAGTGCAGCGAGATGCCACGTAATGGCACGCGTTGTAAGCCATAGAATGCCTCTGCAAATGAGGCACCTTAATTGGGAAGCACCAGACAAATATTAATCTCAGAGTATGACATACCAGAACTGAAGTAAATAACACAGAGTACTGTATCTGCTTTGTATTCTGGAGATAACTCTGACCATTTTCATTGTTTCTTGAGCCATTATTGTTCTAACCCAAGTACTGCCAACCTATTCTGTTCCCATGGAGTTCTTAAATGAATACAGGAAGGTGAGGTAAAGTTGTACTGCTTAATGAAGCACCGTGTATGGGGGTATAGCCCCTTACATTAACGTCAGCATTGGATGGAGGTGAGTGACCAACTTTATGCTCTGGCCACTTTATACCCAGCAACTGAGGCCTGGCCACCTATCATATAGGAGGTCTCATGGCTAATCAGAATGAAGTGTTAGAAAGAAAAATGTCCTGCCCTTGCTTGGAATTAAACCTTGGCTGTCCAACCTGTAGAAAGTCATGGTATTGAATAAGCTATCTGTGAGGGTGGTCCATGCTCAGTGGTCATACATCAGTCACAATAATAACACCAGACATGGCAAAAGGTGTGACTTTTTTATCTTCAGATACCACAAGACCACTGTTTGGTTCTTATACTACACAGCTTACTCGGTCCCAAGTACAGAAGACCCCAGGCTTTCACGGTGGTGGGATGACTACAATCTGAAATCTGATTCCATGTTATCAAAGCAAATGCCTGAAGACATAATGGCAGAAGGAAATTCCAGAGAAGGCAGGACTTTGCCTCCTTTAATTTTTGTTGAAAAAATCACAAGAAGGATAAGTTATCCTGTGTTATCCTTCTCCGACTCAAATAAATTTAAACTTAACAGTCTTTGGTAAGTGCAAAATATGGGCAGACATCCATTAATGTAAGTTCAGATGACCTATCCGAATTAAGACTCCATTTCTTACCATGACACTTTAAATAACAGTACTGAAGTATGGTGTTAAATGCAAAGTAGACTTCCTCAAACCAACCGATAAGCCACCCATATTTCTCAGGGTTACATGATGCCAAGAACTGAAATAGAAAACCTGGAGTAAACTACGTGTACAACATGAATTAACAAGATGAGTATACTTTATCAACACTATTGAAAAAATTAATGCATTTGCAGGACAAGTTATATTTCCTCAAGTGCGAGGCCTTACAAAAAGACACCCATATAATTCTTTGGCCATTATATCACTCAAATAATCTTCGTGGTGTATGAATCAGCTGATTTATATTACCATAGCAACACGCTTTAAGGCCGGATGAAATGTTACTGTCAGTGAATCCTGGGCAACAACTTCGAATATCGAAGGTTTTGTATGCGAAGTAGCTGTTAGGTGTGCCGCTCTTTCAGCCATTGCAACCTTTAAACACGCAGTTAAATGATGGCACGAAAATATTCAGTACCTGTCACTCACTAAGTTGCCATGTTTGTAAACACGAATTACCAACTTAGCATTTATACACCACAGATGAGATTACTACAACTAAAGTTTCGTGCGCCATTGCTGTAACATATCTGTGTTGATTTTGGCTTTGCTGGGGTGTTGTTGAAAGATGAGTTTGTAATAATCATGTTTTATAGTGTTAGTCATGCAGTTTGCTACTTATTCTACGAGGATACAGTTTTCGGAGTTTTTCGTTTTGTTTTGTAATGATTTTAGACGAAAATGAAGGATAAAATGCCTCCATTTAGGCGTAAGAAATTGGGAAAATCCTTTCCCGTCAAAGTGTATACATTGGATGCTGAATTGGAGTTTAATTTGGAGGTTAGCTGAACGTAAATGATTTTAGTTTGCTGAATTGATAGAATGAACGATAGTAGTTGAATACATGGCTCGTACATCCCTTTACAGTGGAGAGCGACGGGAAGAGGTCTGTTTGACTTGGTATGCCGCACAATAGGACTCAGAGAGACTTGGTATTTTGGATTGCAGTATGAAGACTCCAAGGGATTTATTTCATGGCTAAAACTGGACAAAAAAGGTACTTAATGCGGAATATATGGATAAAATTATCACCTTAACGCGCAGAGTTGTAATTAAAAATTATGTTATTCCAGTCCAGGATCAGGGAATCTCACAACAGCCTACAACCTCTTTCATGTTTCTTGGCAAATTCTACCCAGAGGATGTTGCTGAGGAGCTAGTTCAGGAAGTCACACAACATTTGTTTTTCCTGCAAGTGAAGCAAGCTATTCTGTCTATGGACATATACTGCCCTCCAGAAGCATCAGTTTTACTGGCCTCATATGCAGTGCAAGCTAAGGTCAGAGCTGTTTCTGTTGTTTTTGTTCACTGTGGTAGAAGATGTTATGGACAAATGCATGAAATTACAGATAACATGGGCCAGCTACAAGATATTTTACGTTTGTGAATTACATTTGTTCTGCATAATGCTACAGATGTTTATATAAAAGTTATTTTAATGGGGTTCCTTAAATTTTTCTTGTATATGTTTTACAATCATGAATAAAACTAATCCTGATTTTCTGGTTCTTCATAATTTTTATTCAAATAATTCACCATCGTCACGAACTTTTAGGTTTGTTGTTTGGGTTCTTATCAGTAATATTATTTGTTGCCAATTACAGGGATGGTAGTGTCTTACACCACACTATGAGCACATTTTAGTAGAATTACAGATTTTCTAAAAGGAAGAAATTTTTGTCATTTTAACCATTCTGCTCTATATCTTGCTGTAATGTGTCATTGAATTTTAGTTTTGCATGAATTTACTAGACCTGTTAACAAAAGCATTTCTCTGTGATGTTAAACTTATTTGTCCATTTTTATTCTTCTTGCTGGATTTTAAATATTCTTGGTCCTTAGCCATTTAAATAGGGTATTATGTCATGTTTTAGATTTTAAAGTAGATTACAGGGGTTTAAGTATACTAGTAATTTGGTAAATATAAAACATTTATATTTCTAAACAGATTATTTTGCATTTCCTTCTTTACATGCCATTCTGTTCTAATCTCCAAAATGTACATAGAACTTGCTTAACCAAACTCGCACAATGTAGATGGATGCGAATAATTCAAGGTTTTGAAAGCAATTCATGTAATTCATGCTATGAAATCATAGTTCATTTTGCTGACTCACACAGTAATGCTAACATTATGCTGAAACTTGCTAAATGCAAAATGAGCATCACACAATTGAACACGCTGCTTCGTAATAATACGAGGCGCGTCCACAAAGTAAGTTTCTCACTCGTCCCACAGCTAGAAAACCTTATATTGCGCGAAGCGACTGTGCGTACGTGATAGAGCAATGACGTAGCATGGCGCATGCACTAACGGCACTTCCCGCGTTCTCACAGTAGCATCGTTGCAGCTGTTGAAGATGGAGATTCTTATTCCAGCTCCCACCGACTGTGAAGTGCGGTCAGTGATAACGCTAGGCCGCACACGGCTCGACGGACAGCAAGTCTCCTGCAGGAGTTCAGCTGGGAGGTGTTTGATCATTCACCCTACAGCCCGGACCTCGTTCCCAGTGATTTCCATCTTTTCCTACACCTCAAGAAATTCCTGTCCGGTCAGTGTCAGCGTTTTGAGAATGACAGAGAGGCGGAGATGGTTGTCACACAGTGGTTCCAATCCCAGGCGGCAGACTTCTACGACACAGGTATTCAAAAGTTGGTCCCACGGTATGACAAATGTCTCAATTCCGGTGGCGAATATGTTGAAAAATAGCTGGACACTTGCTGTATCTGTTGCAATAAATGTTTACATGAAATTGTGTTTTGTTTCTGTAAACGGCCCCAGGGAAACTTACTTTGTGGACGAGCCTCGTACTAAATGTGGCCTGAAACGTGTCATTGAAATAAGAAGCTACAACAGCATATTAATTCCTCTGTCATGTAGTATGGTGACTATGATGAATCGATGTACAAGCCTGGAATGCTAGCAAGTGAAGACTTGCTGCCACAGCGAGTGATAGACCAGTATCAGATGACGCCCGAGATGTGGGAGGACCGCATCAAGATCTGGTATGCAGATCATCGGGGCATGTCACGGGATGAGGCCGAGATGGAGTACCTGAAGATTGCGCAAGATCTGGACATGTACGGTGTCAACTATTTCCCCATCAATGTGAGTACTCCGTACCAGATATGTAACTTATGTGACTGACTCTGGTCTCCTCACAGAAGAGGTATAAGAATATAGACAATGCAGTGCATGCAACAGCAGCCAGTGCCTTGCAGATTATAAAACCAGTTATCCGTACTCGTCTGCCGTTATCGTCAATGGGCTGGCATAAGTAAACATTGTGTTATTTGTTAATTGTTTTCAGTGGCAGGAATTAATTTGGATTGAATTTAGGCTGCAAACATTAACACTTTCAGCTTCATCTGTGATCAAATCTGTTATCAAATTTCACATTGATTGTGAAATTTGTAGATTATCCAGTCACTCTCACCGTTAGTACTGAGCACAATTTACTAGTGTTTGAACATCTCATCCAGAGAACTGTGTTTTTATTAAGTAATGGAACCCTTGAGAAAACAATAACTTATCATTTAACTGCCATCGTCCATTTTTCTTCAGAGTAAATTTAAGTCTGTGACATGAAGCTATCACAATATATAATATGGGACTTAGGTCCCAATAGTTCTTCCAGGATTTTGAATCCTTCTGAGCATTAGCTTAAAGTCTTTCTGATCGATTTATATGTTGTTTAACAAACCTTCCAGCGGATTAGGTTTTACATCATTATATGAGATGGAAAGATTGTCATGGTGATGGTGACAGGAGGTAGGTGATGCGTGTTCCACAGTATTTTCTCAGCATTTATTTGGAGAGTAATTTCCTGGCTGAAATTCAATGTGGGGACTTCTTGTGTACCAGTCCACAGCATTTCAGCCTAGTGATTTTCTGATTCTGGTGAGTAAATAAGGATTTTAAAGCAGGCACTTATGGTCTGTTGAAGGTACTATCATAGATTTTGGGCTGAGGAAAACCATGAAAGTCCTTGGCTAGTAGAAGACAGAAGCAGCAGGTTCCCTGTAGCATTGGTAATCACCTGCAAGACTATGCAGTGTCACAATCAGAATACGATATATGAGGATATTTGTCATTAGGGTCAGACTGTGAGTGGTGTTCTTGGGTTATATGTGTATCAGCATCTCCTGCAGTTTGTAGACATGTGGAGGGAATGCTGTTCATTGTGGAGGTCACATTAATGTGTGTTTCAGAATAAGAAGGACACAGAACTGTGGCTGGGTGTCACAGCTCTTGGGCTCAACATCTATGAGAAGGAAAACAAACTGACGCCAAAAACAACCTTTACCTGGTCTGAGATCCGACACATCAGCTTTGATGATAAGAAGTTCATCATCAAACCAGTGGAGAAGTCATCACCAAACTTTGTGTTCTTCTCGCAGAAAGTTCGTATGAACAAGCTGGTGGGTACCTGTCCATATTTTTATTGTGATAGTGTTATAAATACCAAAAGTCTTGTAAAATAATTATACGAAAATAAAAAATAGCTAGCTGTATAATGGCCTGGACACGCTGGTGACAGAAGACCTTATAAATGAATCAGAAGTGTAAGTCATTTGTATTTTATGAAATCCTAGATATTTGGACTTAAAAATGTTGTACTTCCTTTTGTTCAGAATATGCAGTTTTACGATATTTGAACTTGCATTTCTTGGCAATGAAACAGGTTTAAAACACGAGTTTGAAATTGAGTTTAAATTTAAATGCAGACTTAATGGGAAAATTAAAATTAATTTGCGTTTAAGAGATTTGCTTCTTCATTGAGTTGACAAAAGAAACTGGAAATGTTAATTCCAGTAATGATCACTATATGCACATCTACTTGTAGATTTCAGATCCCCCTTATCAGTAAGAGATGTTCCATAGATCTGTACTGACCTATTACAGATCCTGGACCTCTGCATTGGGAACCATGACTTGTTCATGAGGAGACGCAAGACAGACTCCATGGAGGTGCAGCAGATGAAAGCACAGGCCAAGGAAGAAAAGTCCAGGTGAAAGAAGTGAAGTGCAGTTTGATTCAGACATTGTTAACATAGTTGGAAGTTCTTCATGCTAAAGGCTGTGTATGTGAGGATATGTGTTCCTGCTTCTGCAGCTCCTGTTCTAGAAGAGCTGGAAGTAAAATGTATTTACTGGAATATAAACTGTACCCAGATTTTAGACAGCATTTTCTATAAAAAAAAAATTTAATTGCCACAGTTGTTACAGTATTATATTAAAACACTTCTGCATGAACATCAACTGTAAAGAGCAAAGTACTTTTTCAAAAGATGTTAATCTCTCAGCTGGTGAAAGAATACCCAGCTTTTGAGCAATGTGAAGGCTTTTCATCGAGTTCACAGAAGCTTGCTACCGGACCCTAACCTCGTACACTTTTGCCCAGTTCACATCTGTATTCCCTTTTTCTTTAGAATTAATTTTAATATTCTCTTGTTTATGCTTATTTGGTCACTTCCCTTCAGATTTTATGACTGTTGCTAATACCTGATTAATTTCTTGATCCATCTTCTTTTGACATCGTTATGCTTGATTCTGTAATGTAACAATAATGATAAATGACAATGCACCTTATCTGATCATCCTGTTTTATAGCCATTAGTAGGATTTTTGGTTGCTAGAATGCTGTCTGGCAGTGAGGATATCCTGTCTCATTACTCTTTTATCATGGCATGTGTTCATTAATGCTGAGAAACTTTACTTCATGGTTCTCTCACTTATATCCCTGTCTTACGGATATTTTTAGTTGCTCATTCCAATGCTATAATGTGATAATGAGTTTGAATTCTTTGTGGAGTTATGCTATAGGTGATGTTACATATTACTCTCTGCCACTTCAGCAGCCAAACTTTTGAATGTTTTTGGATTACTGTATGTTAAGAGTTAAAACTTTCTTTAACCCATGTTTTCTCACTTGTTTACCCATGAAAGGCGTCAGATAGAACGGAATAAGCTGGCGAGAGAGAAGCAGTTACGAGAGGCTGCTGAACGAGAGAAGGCAGCCTTGGAGCAGCGGCTGATGCAGTATCAGGAGGAGATGAGATTGGCCAACGAAGCTCTGGTAGTGTATCTTGTTCTTTTTGCACAGAAATCAGTTATACTTGCAAACAGAAGGAACATTAACTTACTGTCACTTGTGTGGATGTTAACAGTGAGGGATGGGCTGTTAGCTAAACTAGAACATTTCTTCTGTGATTTTCAAAACCACGAGAAACAGTCTCGTTTATTATTCTCCTTTCTTGCATGTTTTACATTTCACTGTAGTCTTTCAATGGTGTCAGCTGGTGATACTCCTGCAGTTGTGTTAGTCTGAAAATTTCACTATCTTGCATAATATACCAACTTTTTTGCAAGTTGCATACTTTAGTCTATGTTCCAGAAGGGTGCATTGTGCTTAATGAAATATGCTTCAGAAGAGTTTGGATTACAAGTTAAGACTTCAGACAGTATTTCCAATCTGTTCCCTTGCAACAAAATAATAAACCTGCTGTGTGTTGCTCTGCAGCAACGGTCTGAAGAAACGGCTGACCTGCTAGCGGAAAAATCCCGAGTTGCAGAAGAGGAAGCCATGCTTTTGAGCCAGAAGGCTGCCGAAGCAGAGCAAGAAATAACCCGACTAAGACTTGGAGTCATGAAGGTAGTGAATGAGTAAAATAAAGCTCTATGCTTTCTTAACCATTGAGTGTTTACTCTCTCCCATGAAAAGTCTCTTGTGCCAATTGGAGGGGCTTGATGTGCCCCATAGGTGTCGTAGACATGTTCCGACCCTTTTATAGAGTCAAACCCTAGCTATCCAGTATCACTACTAAAAAATACAGCTCATTATTTACTCTTAAACTGATATCCCACTAGAGGTGACAGTTATGCCACACACTGTCTTTAGGCATCATATTCTGTTCCCAGATTATAAAGGGAATAGTGTAGGAAATAAATTATTTTACTTTTGGACTGTTATCTACATTGCTCTTTATCTTGTCACTGTCAGTGAAAACTATTATGTCAGTGTGTTGTGCATTATGGAATATTTGCTTGCTGTTGTTCTGAAGGCGTCAGATATCTGTACAGCATCTGTGTAACTATTCCTTCTGTGACAGTGAAATGGTTATCATCTGTTGTTTCAACAGACAGAGGAGGAGAAGGTGCACCTTGAACGCAAGACGCGAGAAGCAGAATTGCTGACTGCCCGCCTAGTGGATGAGTCAGAAAGGAGAGCAGCAGAGGCTGACAGACTCAAAAATGAACTGCTGAAGGCAAGGCTGGCCGAGAAGCAGGCCAAGGAGAAGCTACTTGAGTTCCTGTCTCGCAATGCGTACAATAATATCACAGTGAGTAGCCTTATTGTTGAAAACTAAATACCATAAAGGTAAACACAGAAGCTGTGTTAGATACTAGGAATTAAGGAGGTTTGGAAATAGATGCAGAGAAAACTAAATATGTGTACATGTTCCATTACCAGACGGAAGGACAAATTCATTGTATAAAGATAGCTAACAAATCCCTTGAAAATGTGGCAAAGTTAAAATACTTAGGAATTATAGTAACAAATTATAATTGCATTCACAAGGAAGTTAAGAAGATACTGAATTTGGGGAATGCTTGCTACTCTTGAAGAACCTTTGAGATTAAAATGCACAAAACTTTGCCTATTTTTTGTATGCGAATGAATCCTGAAGGGATGTGGACTGGATTCATCTGGCTCAAAATATTTTAATGTGCCTTCGATTTCCATAAAAAGAAGGGAATTTCTTTACCAGCTGAACATGTTACCTTCTCAATAGGACTGCTCCATTGAGTTAAGTTTTTAGGTAAAAAAAATGAGAAACATTAATCTGAATGATACCAAGCATTTTTTTAATTTGATCTGCTCCTTGAAATAGCCTTCATTGTGTTATGTTGTATTGTTCTGTTTCTCAGCCTGTGCCAAATCTGTACCAATCTGGTCAAGTACTGCCATCTGAACTGCAGGCTGATCTGCGCTCTCTGCAGCTGGACTCCGAACCTCTGCCAGCTGACCTCACAGCGTACGACCTCATCATTGATGGGGATGTGGAACAATTGTCACTCGAGATTGAGAAAGAACGGTAAGCAGTATTCCAGTGGAGTGCACATATTTTGTGCTTGCACGTTTGTAAGCGTGTTTGTAACTAAAAAATTTAAAGAGTTGCTTCTTTCCTTTGCTACCTGCTTGTCTGTCCACACGGAATAGCTTGTGAATGCCCGAAATTTGAGATATTGTATTGTTTTGCCAAAATTTGTCGGCACATTTAAATTTTGATTAAAACTGGACAAGAATATCAGGTTACTGTGTTTCGTTAAACTTCTAATCTACAGTCTGTTAAATGATACTGGTGGATTGACATACAGTTAGACAAATGCTGTCTCATCATTATGGATCCATTTTGTACAGAGAACACAGAACAAGCCGGGAGATATACATATCGTTAGCAATTCCGTTGAATTTCCTCAGTTTTTTGCCTTTATATTTTAATTTTGTGAATGCTGTCTCATAAGCTGTGTTAATAGTTATGGACGGCTGTCTTTCTATCAGAACTTTGATCTTTGTGGGCAGTGCGAGTGACATCAGAGTTGCTTGGGACCAGTGGCATTTATTTGGTTGGATGAGGTGGGGGTTCTGACTGGGGGATGCAAGTATTTTCATCTGCAACAATAAAATGTGACCATATTAAGTATAACAATGAATTGTATCAAGGGTGCAGACTTACAAATATACAAGTTTAATACTGTTCTTTAATTTTGCAAAGGGCACACAGTGAACCAAAGAAGAGGGAAATTTGGATTTCAGGGAGCTATTCTAGACTTTTGACTGTCATACACACAGGCTAATTTACTGCATCTGTAATTTTGAACCCTATTAGTGGTCAGGAAGCTCTGGGTTTTATCCTCACATTTACTGTAATATTTTCAGTGACATAAAGTAAAAGATGGAAATGAGTGGCGGATGATGGAAAGAAACTTTTTTTAGGGTGGAGTATCTTGAAAAGAGCAAGCATCTACAAGACCAGCTGCGCGAACTGCGCTCCGAGATTGAGGTGCTCAAAGTGGGGGAGAAGCAGAGTGAACTGGATCAGCTGCATGAGGAGCAGGTGCGTCTTGGTGAGACCAAATACTCGACACTGCGCAAGGTGAGTTCCGAATGTATTAACATCACACTTTCTTAGATGCTTGTAGTTGCTCAGTTGGTCAATAAATTTCCTGTCTTTTATGAAACATTCTGTATTCATAAATGTTTGCCACTAAACCCTGCCACATCAGACTACTCCTGATTCTCCATCATAGTGAATACGTAAGGACAGACTGACAAGTTCATGTGTTTGTTTTGTTCTCAGGTTAAGTCCGGCTCGACGAAGGCTCGTGTCGCCTTCTTTGAAGAGCTGTGAACGTGCTCAAGATAATGCCTTGTTGCTCGAATATGAAAGAACACAGTCTCAAGGTTGCCAGCTCAGAACTTTGTTGTGACAGTTACATTGTTTCTTACACAATTTATTTCTGAACCAGTGTGTGCATCTGGTAGTTATGGCTTGCTCTGTTGGCAGCATTTTATTACAGTGTTTTCGCCCCATACTGACTTTACACAGAGACATGTTAAAGCATACCTGTGTGTTCACAGACCTGGAATGCTGACGTATTTAGGTAAAGTTGGTCTTTTTTAATCAGTTGTTATTACATTTATGACAGCAGATTTATTTTGCAAAGGAAGTTTGAAAATGCATGCAAAGAGTCCAAGATTTGATACTTTATTAATCCTAATTTCTTTTCTCTCTGCAAAACAGAATTTTATTTTCCTACAGTGGATGAAGTACAGCACTGTTTCAGTTTTCTGTGCAGTCTTCTTTAGGTGACTACAGTGAAACCTCTATCCATCGTTCCCGGAACTATTGTTTTCCCGGATGCATCGTCCGTTTTGTTCGGTCCCGAATACATCCCATATAAAATAATGTTACATTTTCCCGCTTCTATCGTTCCTCGAACTATCGTTTTATCGCATCGATCGTTCAAAAATCTTAGTCCCGGCCCACAATTTTCCCGCAATGATCGTTTCTGAGAATTTAAAATGCTGGGTTTTGAGATAAATTAATACCGAAAGACGCACAATGTTTTTGGAATACACAGTAGTGGTAATCTGTTATGTCGCCCAACCAGCACATTCTTTTGGAATGAGGGTCAGCGGTGCAGGGGTGATAGTTGGAGTGAATGGCGGTGCTCATTGTCAGAAATTTTACGATTTTAATTTGGGTGCACTCATATTTCGTTCCAGCGATGCCAGATGGCATGTGCAGTGTGAATTTCTTCACAAATGCTTTTATTACAAGTACAAAGGAAAGGCTGGCGGCACTTTTCATTCTTCTGGTTCATCTTGTTTCCAGGGGTTCAGGGTCTTCTACAGCTACATTTCGTTGAGTTCGGCAGTAATAGTATTTCCATTCTTCCTGTTATTGTCCGCAAAGGGGGTTGGAGCGGTGAGAAAGAGGAAGACGACGAATGCGAGCCCGAAGCTTTGCCGAGTTTTGCCGAAGCACACGCTGCATTGGCGAAAGTGAAGTCGTTCTTTTATGCGCTTAATATTAGTGAACGTGACGAGGAAAACATTTTGAACGTGGAAAGTGCTCTGTTTGGTCTAAAACGTAAAGTTTCGACAAACCAGTTGTCCACTAAAGATTTTTTTGGTAAAAAGAAGTAACTTTGAAAGAGAAACATTGTTTTTTTAAAATTTGTAATGCTTTCCCGCATCTATCGTTTTCCCACATTCATCGTTTTTATTTCCCACCCCCGCCGAAAACGATGCATCGAGGTTTCACTGTAGATGTAATTGCGTAAGATTGCCGGTCTTCATGTACACAATAGAGCTGTCCAGCTGGCCGCGTGCCACAGTAGCATATCACAAAATGGTCAGGTCCATAATTATGTCCAGTTGGCCTGCCTGTAGTATTTTGGATTAAATATCCTATTTGCATAAGATCAGGATTAAAAATACACGTGCTTCCAGAAAATATGTAATCAGTAATGATTTTCTTCCGACTAATGTTAAAGGCTTGAAGTTGTGTTCTACAGTTGTTGGTTGATTATGTGTATACTGTAATTCTTCCTCTCTTTTGATAGACTTCGGGACAGCTTCCTGGCAGCAGTCACCACTTTATGGTCATTTCATTGTGTCACACTAACTTTTCAAGATATGAGTGCCCTTATGCACTCTCTTGCCAGACATATGTTCTGTATCTTACATGATTTAGAAATTTTTTAAGATACAGAGCAAAGCACTTTGCAGTGAGATTTTGCCTGTCCATTAGAAGTATAACATAATGTGATAATACAGCAAGTAATGGAAACAAAACATGGTAACCTTTTTGAGTTGTTTATAAAACAGTTGCACACTCATTCTTTAATTGTGATGTTGAGAAGTTGTTGATATTCTTTGTTCTTAGTATTTTATTTGTAAAGTTTTGTACCTAGAATTGCAGCTTCATTTTTGTAGTTTGGTCATTTAATTTGAGCCTTAGTTTTTGCAGAATTGTGTTTGTAAGATTGTATTAAACATCATCTTAAATATATACCACACAGGAAAATTTTCCAAACTATATGTTTAGGATGAAATGAGAGATTTATGTTATGCATAAGCAAAAGCCGCATAGCCTGTAATACAGCTGTGTTGCTCATGGGGATTCACCTCTGGTAATGTGATGATGCCTGCCCCTTGTGTCCAAGAACTTGAAACCTACCAGTACATTGTCCAATGATGCTCTCAGCATGGTTACCAATCTTTAGATAAAAGTTGTGTGATACAAAACAAAAGAATTATAGATTTCTGTTATGTTCTGTTTTGTGACCTTTTCCTATTTGTGCATGCAGGGATGTGTCACGTTCGGTGTATGTGTGTCGTTTTTCTATAGCATGAGCATCATTCTTTCTGAGTACCCTGTGAAACAAATTGTTTTAAGTATGTAAATCTAATTAAGCTGTGTGTGGTGCCAAATTGGTAGGAACTTAACAAGGCAGATGCACATTATAAACCATTCTGACATGTCAGGAAAGGAAAGCCCTTAGATGCACTTGAGGCATAGAGGTATAGGGCCTACTGGTGGTCTCTTGGGAAACTATAATGAGCTTCTGGCTTCCATGAAAGACAGACAGAAACTCTTTCCTGTAGACATTGTAAACTCTGGTGATCATTTATATTGCTTACTAACAGTCTTGAATTCTGTTGATGTTATATGAATTTGGTCAAAGTGATATATGTAATAATACATTGAAACTTTGAAAAACCATTTAATATCGTTGTTGGGCTTGAAACCTCAGTTGCTCATGAAGGGTATTCCTTGTAGAGTACTTGACAGCCAATGATATGTCACTGGAGACGGATACTGGCCACTGAAAATTTAGAATGTTCCAGAGCATTTCAAAGTTGATTGTACTCATTTTAGCGGTCATCAATTTTGTTTAACAAAGACTTTACTTTATGGTTTGGTTCTGAAGTACTGTCTCAGTGAAACTGCCATAAATCCTGGTGACAGACAGTAGCCAGGGGCCATGATGCTCAGTGTTCTGCCTGAGGTGCTGCTCTTGTGTATTCGCACAACACGATTATGATACGGCTGTGAGAGTTTTAATTACCTACCAAGAGGTGAACGTTGTTGATTGTGTGTATACCTGTCGCTACACCTGTTTTTCTGTCACTAGTAAGATTAGCAGAAGAAGTATGCTCAGAATGATGGGTTTTAGGTTGTGGATTGTCTGGATTTCTGCATGTAAGTAATAGTTGTGTTGAAAGTGGCGTGGGTCTGTGAGAATTCCTTCACTTGTGCTGTGTGCTAGAGGATGTTTAACAGTGACATCTGTTTCATACATGTGATTTCTAAAATAAGGTAACATACATAATGTTTCATAATGGCTTATGTTGTTCAAGCCTCTCTCCTGAGATTTTTTCTGCTTGATCATTTCTCACAGACATCTTCATCCACAAGAACTTTGTAGTAATTATAGAGTAATAAATATCCAGTCAGTAATCTCATTAGCTGTGTCCCTACCTAAGCTAAAGAAACTTTATATAATTAAAAAATCTCACATTCTTTATCAGTAATGAATAAGAGGCATTCATCTTGACCTATAATTTATTCTTTCCATTGAATTTTTTCTTCAGATAAACTATTTCTTCTGCATACTGCCTCTTCCTTGTAAATGAGATTGGTGTATGTATAAAGTGAGGGAATTCTTCATGATGTGCCCAAAATCCAACAAGTAAGGTTTTATTGTTAATACTGGTTCTTGGGAATGCTTTTGGTGCTATGTTTTAAGATAAGCTGGACTGTGTTTCCATGTTCTCTTGTACATACTGTAAATTATTGTCATTATTTTATGAAACAAATTTATAAACTGGAGGCAGCCGTCCATAGAGTTTGCTTTATATTGATCCTGCTGGAACATATCACAATAAAGTAAATTGCAATGGTGTGTTGTTATCCTTGTAAAACTTCCCACTGATATGTGCCAACCTAACTTTTGACCATATTATGTTGGTTGAACATAACATTCCACTTAATTTTGTCAGACCCCATTCCACTCTCTACCATACTGTTCAATGTACATACTTCATCTATCAAACCATCATTCCTATAGTGTTTTGCTTAATTTATAATTACATAACTCTTGTAAAAATTTTGTTACCAGCCCATTCTGTATGGTCAGTATCAGTTGGTTTGTGGAGGAAGTAACATGAAGCTGGAGAAAAATGCAAAAAAGGATCTTCATAATTTGTCCTGCAGCCTATTGTTACATAAGCAGTATAGCGCATTAGTTTTCTGCCAGCTTTTGAAACCATAAACATTTGGTAGGACTACTGAGGAGTCAGCCCATTGTGGACCCTCAAAATACATAGTACAACACAATAAGGAAAAACTCCGAGCCACGAGTGTGATTATAAACTGTGGCCCCAGTGTTTGAGAGACCAAGACTTATGCCCATAATTTGTAGTATTCCCTGCATATGTTATTCCATTAATGGAAATAAAGTTTTCCATTGCCCAAGTCATGTGGCACACACCGTAGAGATGAAAAATGTTAGTCGGAGAACCTGATGTGTTGGGCGAACTGAGCGATAATATTAAAATAGGTGTGAAATGGTGACGTCATTATTGAATGATTTATATGGCAGGAAAGAATGAAATTTTTTTAATAATGTAACAAGTGTATTGGGTACAATATTCTTCACTTATAAGAGGCTGTCGTAATGTCTTAATTTAATACACTAGTAAATACATATTTTATTAACATATGTGACGAACGCAGCTATGTACTAATTAACTTTTAGGTTATCCGTTCTATGTCCCCTATAGTGGTTCATGTCAGCCATTATTTTAAACCTGAAATATAATCAAATTGATTGTTTATTTTGTAACTATATAAATCCCAGTTTTATAGTTTATTCTATATAATATATTCACGTAATCGTAATCTGCTTATTTCAGCATCATTTAATAAATGTTGTAGGATGGGAGTTGATGTTGATTTTAGTTGTACATAGAGTTTCCGAAAATCGCAGAGTTGTAATAATGGCAGCGACCCGAAGGTTGCAGAAGGTATGTGAAGATATTTGAAATGCATTTTCATATATTAATATTGCCTTTAATGTGTCAGTTGTGTTCTGTTGCAAAAATGCGTATGAGAAATAATGTATATGTAATGATAGCGTGAGAATGGGCAAATGCATGTTTTCCTTTTCTGATTTCATGGTACCCATGACATTCCAAATAGATGAAAAATGGTAGAAATGGTGATGCATACCACTCACACGTGATTCTTATGTTCGTAAATTAAGCATTAAAGTATGATGTACTGTAAACTATCTTGATAAATATGAATAATGTATTGTTTAAGTTGAAGTTCCTCTAATCCATAGTGAGGCATTTTATCTTACAGGAACTTGCTGATATCCGTACCTCGGGGATGAAATCATTCCGAGATATTCAGGTAGACGAGTCAAACATTTTGACATGGCAAGGTCTTATTGTTCCAGTAAGTAATGATCAGTTTATTTTCGTTTGTTATTTTTGGTGTGTGATGAATGGAGTAATACTACTACTTTTTTGGTGTTTTCAGGATAACCCACCTTATAATAAAGGTGCCTTTCGGATTGAGATAAACTTCCCTGCCGAGTACCCATTTAAACCGCCAAAGATAAACTTTAAAACTAAAATTTACCATCCCAACATTGATGAAAAGGGACAAGTTTGTTTACCAATAATCAGTGCAGAGAATTGGAAGCCAGCAACCAAGACAGACCAAGGTATTTTTAAAAGTTTGTAATATCATCCCATTTTCTTGCTGTTGTATGTTATGTGAATTATTCTAATTGTTTCTGGTTTTTATTCCCCAGTCATACAAGCCTTAGTGGCACTAGTCAATGATCCTGAACCAGAACATCCATTGCGGGCTGATCTAGCAGAAGAATATCTTAAAGACAGGAAGAAGTTTGTTAAAAATGCTGAGGAGTTCACAAAGAAGCATAGTGAAAAACGGCCTTCTGACTAAAGGTCTCAAGTAGCACTGTGAATTGAAGACATACAATGTTTCTCATGAATTTATTCTGCCTGGGTCAAAGGTAAAGACCTGCCGATCACTTTCACCACAGCATTTTGAATACTGAGGAGAATGTTTTAGAATACCAGCAGGTGCAAACTAATGAATGGACTCTGTGAACTTGGAAATTTGGAATGAATCAGCTCCTTATTGTTTGTGGGAGTCATATTGTCTCAGGAGGTTTGATGTGCCCTGTGAACTAATTTTAATCCCAAATAAATTCCCAATATGTGCATTTATATGATAGAACTTCTGGCATCTGCTGTGTGGGTTGGGTAATATGATGGAGCACTGTAGTTTTGTTGTGTGGTAGCATTAACAGTCACAAGCACGGGAGTTTATTTATGTAGAACTGAAATTATTAATTATTTGTTGCACAAATCTTTGTTAAACATTGTCACAAATTCTGCACTGTCGAAGTGGAATGTTGTGTGCTGAACAAGTCACAGTCAAAATAACAGCCTGTTTATGGATGTTGTTTCTCATTCATTATCTTTAGTTAAGTGATTGTGTGAACATAATTTTTTTCATTTTGCAAAGAGTTCTTTGTCGTGCTGTTGATGAAAAGTTGCTGGTATATTTAATTGTATTAATTTGTATTTTTCTTGGTGCATAATTCTCCTGGACCTGAATAAATTAATTTTTAACAGTATGAGGTTTTTTTATTACATTGAAGTAAACAAGGTTATGGTACATGATGCCATTAATTTAATTTACTTGTCTATTTAATTTTGTTCATTCTGTAAGAAGAATTTAGGTATAAAGTGATTTTTCAGTTCATCACATCAGTGGTAATCTTGTATCAAGCAACATGCAACAATCCAGAAGACAACCATCTTATAATTTGGAATGGTTTAACCAGTAGATGGCAGTTCCATCTTTTACTTGTTTCTTAGACTCATAAATGTGTGAGACCAGCATTTTGCGTTGTTTGGTCTTCTCTCATATAGTGTGCCGGGTCATTACTCCATCTGGAGGGTTCATACTGAATTTTTCTCCTTTACAATTTCATTTTGCATTTTCTACTATAAAAATTTGTGATTAGTCGTCGTCGTCAAAAAAAAATGACGTCATCAACAATGTCTACTATAAATAAAATCGGCATTGTTGTGGAACACAACAATGCCGAGTAAACAAATAACGCTTCACAACAAAGAAATCAAAAACTATCAAGCCAGTCGCATTATCACTGCTCCAGAAGCAGCACATCGCCTCCAAACAGCGACATAAAACTATTTAAGAAATGAAGGAAAGTGAAAGAAAACGTTGCCAACACCAACAAGGTAATCTGATACTAATAATAATATTCAACCAATAAGAAACTAAACTAACCCCCCGAAAGGGGGTAGTTTAGTGCCTTACTCAAGATTTTAAAATGCAACTCACCCCATTCGGGGGACTTAGTTTAGAGTCTTACACAAAATTTTAAAACGCAATCCCCTGGGGGAAGGGTTGGTTGCGTATTAAACAAATGACCAACCCCTCGAAGGGGGGTTGGTCAGTTGTTTTATGCACCATTCGGGGGGCTTAGTTTAGTTTCTTACTCAAGAGTTAAAACACTTGAATGAGACATAAACTAACCCCCCGAAAGGGGGTAGTTTAGTGCCTTACTCAAGATTTTAAAATGCAACTCACCCCATTCGGGGGGTTAGTTTAGTTTCTTACTCAAGAGTTAAAACACTTGAATGAGACACTAAACTAACCCTTCCGAAGGGGGGGGGTGGTTGCGTTTTAAACACTTGACCCCCGAAGGGGAGTTATTTTAACGTGTTACATAAGATTTCAAAACGTAACCAACCCCCTAGAAGAGGTGTTGGTCAATTGTTTAAACCATCAATTTGGGGGGTTTAGTTTATATTCTTACACAAGATTGGTTGCGTTTTACAAACTTGACCAACCCCCCCTAGGAGCTCCGAAAGGAGCGCCCTGCTCTAGTGTTGTAAATTGTTGCAAGACTCTGTTTCTGGGGGTTTTGAGGAGGCTAATGCAGGATTGGTAAGATTTCAGGTTCTTAAGGCAGTGAGTATGAAGATGATTGTCTTTTGGGATGTTGCACCATGTCTTCTAGAAATTGACCAATGTTTTAGAGGTGGTTACTGCCTTTATATTCAAGGGAATAAGTCCCCCTTGTGATGGATTAAGTATGGAGATGTGACACATCTGTAAGTTTCTATGAGACTTGGCACAACATTACAAAAGACAGTTGTCTATATATTTTGAGTGTGTGACTATGCATTTGTTACCATGCAATTCAGAATTTTTTGTCTTCCCATTTGCTATGTGAAAATGATAAAAGTTTGATCCTACCCTTGTGTTTCCAGTAGATGTGAAACTTGAATTTTTCATAAAGAAAATAATGCACAATATGGGTGTTTGGGAACAGGGTGCTAAGGAGAATATTTGGACCTATGACGGATGAAGGAATTACATCATGAGGAGGTTTATGAGTTGTGATACTTATAACATGATCTAACCAAGTATTTTGAGTGGGTGTGTTGTGTATCATTTAGAGGGGAGATCTGAAATCTGTACAAAATATTTGTTAAAAAGCCTGAAGGAAGTAACCAGTTGAAAGATTTTGATGTAAATCGGAAGATACTATTAAAACAGATCATAGGAAATTTGGGGCAGGAAGGTGTGGTTTTATGTGGCTCTGTTTTATAACGTGGGGCTCATGTTTACAAGGTTTTAAACGTTACATTACAATAAAAGGCGAAGCATATCTTGGATAGTATAGCGACTATCAGCGTTTCAAGAACTATATTGACGTTTCTTCATTATTTGCTACTTTAAAACGTATTTTATCGGTTGGTTACATATTACTGATGTTGTCTAACCTGGGAATAATGAGTGTGGCGCTAATGACAGCTTACGTACTGATAACAAACTTTCCTACTGCTTAATGGTATATGGTGCACGTTGTACAGTTGCGTGACGACTAATATATATTTCGTTGAATTTGGTGAAATTAAAGGAAGAAAATAAGGTATGAAAATAACGTATTCTCGAAGAATTATAGAATATTATGAGAACGTATATCTGCATCTGAACATGAAGTGTTATTACAGTTACTGGACCTGGAAGAATCTAACGTCAAAGTGTCGGCTGTATGTGCTTGTATCATGTATAATCCTGGCCTTTCTAATTCATATACTATACTACTATTAACCATACTATAAAAAGTTACATTTTATATTCTCTCTCATTCAACTATGCAAAAATTGTTGGAGTTGGCTTGAATGTCTAAATCGATATATTGATGTGGAATGAGTATATTGCCCATAAATCGTAAATTCGAATTGTAGGATGTGACATTACTTAATATTCACAAGCAAAGACCAAACATTGGTCATAAAGTATCTGTTTTCAGACCATTCTGATTATGAAATGCATCAGACAGATGTTAACTTGCACAGACTTTACTACTGGTTTTGTATACGTTCATTTTATTAGCTATACTAGTTTCTTGCATTTATTGACGCATATGAAATGTAAATTATGCTAGCAGAAGTTCTGTAAGTATGTCAAATTCAATTAGAATGTTATTCAGTACTCTGCAAATTGAATCCTGTGTTCTTGGAGGCTATAAATAGTTGAAATGCTGTCCCATTGTATTCCCCATTGTTATGATTTTCCTTACTTGGTTGTGGAACTTAAAAGAGTACACCCAGTTTCACATGCAGAGATAATTCTGTAGATGAAGGTGGCTGTCTTCTGGGTTGATATGTTGTGTAGTCTGGTAAAAGTAAACTTCTACCAGACTCTGCTGTGAAATCTTAAAATCCTACATAATTCTAAAGTTCTGTTAAATCAGCCTACACATTTCTAAAATACATGCACAAAATATAATGTGGACTGTCCCTAATTGCCTCAATGCCGTAATTTTCCTTTTTGCCCATTCTTCCATTGATCATATCCCCAGTAGTGTACTGTACTACAAAATTACGAAATATATTTTGAGCCAGTTATACATTACAGTCCATTCTATTTAAGCAAAAAAGGACTGTTATAATTCCTAGTGAAATTATTCAGAAACACCTTTTCTTACCTTTAATTTTGTTTCCTTTTAAATTAATGTAATATTTTGTGATTGTAATTTGAACAGAATTAATCAACTTGTGTGTTGTTCCAAGTGTTTGCAGTTTCTTTTTCTTTGAAAGGTGGTTACCATTTGTTTTATACAGCTTAGAGGTGTGCTATATAATGTGTATCTTGCAATTAATTAGTTGAGTATTAGGAACTGCAGGGTAGGGGCTAATAACAGGGTTTTGTGGCAATGGTGATTTGGCTTCACAGCATGGATGCTATTGATCAACTTAATATGTATTAAATTCTTAATGAAAACATTGTACTGGCAGCTAAATATTGTATCTTTTTAAACACACATGCTCTCTAATAATACTTTTCTGTGCAGAACATGTCTGCCTGTCAAGAGATGACTGAAGAGGGTCCGTCAGATGCTGAGGCTACGAAAAATGTACGGCGCCCCATCTGTCTCATTGTGTTGGGTATGGCTGGTTCTGGGAAGACTACTTTTGTGCAGAGGCTGGTATCACATCTGCATGGACAAGCAAACCCGCCGTATACAATTAATCTGGACCCAGCATGTTTAGAGGTCCCATACCCAGCAAATATAGGTGAGTTGAAATTAATTTACTGTATTTTGTGGCATACTTTTTTTTAATTACACTAAAATCACAGTGTGCCTTATGGATCAGTATTTTAGAATAATAATTTTTAATTTCTCCTTCCAAAACCATTGCATGTCTTATACAATAGGAAGTATGATAATCCTGTTAATAAACCAGCTGTCATTAATTTTGTTCCCACCCAGGTTTTTCAAGCCCTTTCATATTCGATTTTTGGCCCACATGCATCGCGCATGAATTCTTCCATGTTTCAGATATACGAGACACTGTGAACTATAAGGAGGTGATGAAGCAATATGGTCTTGGTCCAAACGGAGCCATTGTCACATCCTTGAACCTTTTTTCCACCAAGTTTGACAAAGTAATCTCCCTCCTGGAAAAGGCCTCCTCTACACATGAGCTAACTGTGATCGACACTCCAGGCCAGATCGAGGTGTTCACCTGGTCTGCCTCTGGAAACATTATCACTGAAGCCTTAGCATCCACATTCCCCACTGTTGTGGTGTATGTAATGGACACCATACGCAGCGTGAATCCTGTCACTTTCATGTCTAACATGCTTTATGCCTGCTCCATTCTGTATAAGACCAAGCTTCCATTCATCGTAGTCATGAACAAGGTGAGAGGCCACTTTCTAATGTTTTTGATTTCATACGAATTATGCTAGGGCCTTCAGAACAGTATCAAAGCCGTGCCTCTCCCTCACTAACTGTGCACTCTGCATGTTACTTAACGTGCAGGTGGATGTCGTTGAGCACAGCTATGCAGTGGAGTGGATGCGTGACTTTGAAGCATTCCAAGAAGCCCTGGAGTCAGAAACTTCTTACATCTCAAACCTGACACGGTCCATGTCACTCGCCCTGGACGAGTTCTACAGCAACTTGCGGTGTGTTGGTGTGTCTGCTCTTACTGGCACCGGAGTGCCCGAGTTCTTCTCACTGGTTCAGGATGCAGCTGATGAGTATGAGAGGTGAGCATCATGATGGTTGAAAAAAGGTTTTCATGGGATGATAACCCAGTGTGTCCACAATACAGCATTGCCATATTTCAAACACATGGTTTGGCTTGTGGACACCCTGAGTTAAAGTGAATCTTGGGCAGGTGTAATTTGGGTTATAGTGGATCAAGGTAAAATCCTGTTTACCAGCTGAATAACAATAAATTGTTAAAAAACACTGTATACTGTGCTGTGGCAGCGAGTGTTGATGTGGTTTGTTGTGACAGAGACTACCGAGTAGAGTGGGAACGACTCAGGAAGGAGAAGCAAGTCGACGAGATGGTGCAGCCAGTACTGGAGGAGGAGGGGAAGCCTGTTTCGCTGGTGACAGCAGTGCCAATAGGGCAGGAACTGGCAGATGTGTACCTAAAGCATCCTGCCAATGAGAGCAGCGATGATGAGGAGGGAGAGGAGAATGTGCCGCATCTCACGGAGAAAGGTAGGTCACTGCATGGTTATTAATGTGTTGGTATACATTTTACATGCAATTATTTATTTACTCCTTTCTGTTTATTGAACTAGTATTACATATACATTTAAACGTTTCTTTGTGTTGCTGCAGAGATTGAAGAGGAGAAGGAACGAGAGTCGTTCTATAATTTCCTGACACAACAGAAACAAGTGCAAGAAAAACGGGTCTCAGCGGCTGCAGAGCAGACGCATAAGAAGTGATGGGGCAAAGCAAGTGCAGGTAAGTCCAAGTATCTAAACAGTCTTTCTAAAGACAACTCAGACGGTTGCATTTATGAATGCCAATTAGTTTATTCATAAGAAGCAAAATTCTTGGATTGTTGCAGTTGTCACATAGAGTAGGGGGATATTATGAGCGCGTGTGGGATGCACACAATTCATAGGACTGATGACTTGTTTCATCTGTCAGGATTCTGGTGCTCCTCTGAGGTTACTCCGCCAGACAATGCTACTGCACGACATGTCTTTTGATTGAAGAGCATAACATCAGTGATCTGTACATATATTTAATACAATCAATTCCTTTATACATGTGGTGTCTTGTGTTTATGTTCCCTTTAATCACTTGGAACGTGTACATAATACTTTTTCACTGCAAGAGAGAACTGAAGATTAAATAATGTGGTTTTGACCTTCACATGAATTGTTTTAATGTGTTTATGGTAGACAGCAGTCATTGTTTGTCACCAAATCTCTTAAGATTCATGCAATCCATTTAATCCATTCTTATCTTCTCTATCTTCATAATCAAAGTCGCACATCTTGACATCAGCTTCCTCTCCATACTGGATCATGTTGTTAATCATAAGCATGAGGTCAGCAACGTTCTCTTCGTCCTTAATATTAAGAGGGTAGAACCTCACAAGACTGTAGTCTTCTATGAGACGACCAATAGCTTCTGTTAGGTGGCGATACTTTTCACTCCATTTGGATCTGGTCTGCACATCTCCCAGTAGGGTATGTGGGTCAGGCTCCAAGTACCTTAAAAGCAGGTAAAAGTACTATACAAAATTATTCTGCACCATAGAGATACGATTGAAATATATTTACGATATCTTCCTTGGCTTTTTTGTACAATTCCATGTTGAACACAATTAGGATATACACAATGTATGTATGTAATAGTTGTTTACTACAATGTAACCAACCTGTCAAGCTGGTTTCGTGCACTCTTACTGAGCAAGTCCATCTTCGTGAGAATGTTGATATGAGGAAGCTCCAGATTTACCATGACACTGAGAGCTGCCATTGTTCCTGACAAGAACTTTGCTCCATCCACCATGAACTGGGAGTCCACCAGAAACACCCCGCATACACGGAAGTTCCAACGCTGCTGGAGCAGTTCCACAAGCTGGCGCATGACTGTCATGTGCGTGTACAGCTCTATTTGACCCGGGCAGTCGAACAGAACGTAGTCATCGTCCACATCACCAAGTTGCTCCTCCAGCCAGCCAGAATTCTCCATCAGGTACCTGTCAAGCTTTGAACTGAATTAAAACTGACTGAAGGTTCAGCATCATTCAAACCACAGCACATGAGAAGACATGAGGCCAAGCAAATTCTGTTGTTCCCATAATCTCAGCCTGTCTTTGTTATCTACCACATCCTTCACAAGGACACAGTTGATATCACCACTGTGAGAACCTCATGTCTTAAGACAATTCGGCATTTGTTTGCTCCACATTTCTAACTTCACACCGAACTCCCTCTCATGACTCATGTAACAGTAATTTCTGCAGTGATTCAGGAAAGAATGAACATAGCTGTATTTCCTAAACCATCAATAGTACCAAAACAGCAATGTGGAAATGCAGTTTAGGTGTGACACTAGCACTACAATTAGTGTAGCTCCTTAAAAAATATGTAAAATTTGCGAAAGTAATTGTTTTGTATAATGTGAAAAACCCATGGTAACCAATGAAATCTGTATTTAGTTTGCTGGCCAAAATACTCTGCACTGTATTATCTGTTTATACAGAAATATACTCACTCCATACAAAACACCAGGCCACCATTGGGTCCAAATTTGAGATCAGCATCGTCCATTGCATCATCCAAGTGAATCAGTTCCCTTATATCAACCAATGGTTGATAATCAAAATATTCAGCTGCTGGATCAAGGTTCACAACATCAATAGTCTTCCTGTCATCTGCAGCTTGCTTGACTATTGTAGAACAGTATGTGGACTGAAAAACATTGATGGTTTTATTGTCTCCTATTTTCATTTCATCTTCCATATCAAAATCCAGAAATGGTCCAAAGCCTTTTACAGGATTTTGTATTCAAACTAAATCATTAAATACAAATACTGAAAGACTACCAGGTTACAAGCCACGAGCGCATAACAAAGGTTCGGACTGGTTACCAAGCAGCCCTGAGGATGTGAGCAGACATTGTCCACTGAACGTTGGCAGAAGATATGGTTTATTCACCATTCAGAAACCTGACGCAGCTAGTAACCCAAGAATCCTTCATCAACTTCAGTTGCTGTGAAAGCTTCACTGTATACATGATAGTGTCATGTTTATGTAAAGGAAATGTGTTACAGAATGAATGTCTTGACAAAATTATTGAGATTTATTGTGAAGATTAACTCATGAAGGATACATAAAATCGGGCAGAATTGTGTAAATGGTAACAATTAATTACAGTGAAGCACATATCAGACCTGTGTTGCATAACAGCAAATATTTGAGTTTGTATTTTCTGACTAGAATGTACTATTGTCATTACTGATACCCATTCACAAGGTATATTGCATGGAGGTTAAGTATACCTTTCCACATCCGGCAGGACCCATAACCAATTGTGCGTATCGCATTGTTTCGTAAAATTTGAAAACGAGATTATGATTAGAATCTGGTTAATTCATGGGATTTTGAATAATTTGATAAGTTACATATTCTCGGAAGTTTTTTCTGTTTCAAGTTGCTTTGGGCTTAGTGTGTGACCAGGAATAAATATATAAATTCACTACGATTTCGACATCAACTGCAATTTCTGTGCACTAAACAGTCTTCATAAATTCAATTCAAATCTCAAATACAGATGACCAGCATTAAAAACATTCTCAGATAAATTGCTATTACGTTTAGCAGCACCGTATACTAACCGGAATTGGTACTAGTACGTATAATGTTGGTGTTCCTGCAAGCGCAGTAGGTTCATAGGAACCGGAATAGAAGTTGGTGTGAGTGGTCGACATCCGCATAGCAAGATACCATTGGTTTAAGTTCGTATTGTGATGAATGTGTTACATCACTTAAAATGGCTGTAGTTGAGGCCAAGGAAGAATGGTGCTGTTGCTGATTTTCCGCCAGGAAACGTGAAATTTGCAGATGTTTATGGGCGTGGAAGATCTTCCGAAAATGTACGTAAGTAGTTTGGTTTCGAAGTTGCCATGCTCTAAGCTGTGTCGGAAATTGCTTTATGTGTATGTGGTTTTATCGTCAGTAACCCTATGCAATTTCACATGTGATACGAAACTTTTGTTATTTCCCTATTGGACAATACTTCGAATTTGTGTAATTTCTTTTTCAAATTGTGTCAATAATTAAAGGTATGGCACACATTTCTTTTTACTCCCTTCCATTTCAAAAAATAAATCATCTTCAGCCTCTACACTCTAGTTGGGGTAAACAACACTCTTCTGGTGATTGAGATGAAGCAGTTAAAGAGTTGACAGCAGTGCCACGTCAACAGTTGTATTGGCATTGATATCGAAAGTATCTTCACTGCCCTCATCTGTGAGAGAGAGGGAGCAGAATGAGGAAGATTTCTGGTAATGGTGCTTGGAAAAAGAGACTTCCGAGGTATGATTTTTACTAGTGTTGTAGTTGATTGTGGTAAAAACTATATACCTTCTGCTCCCAGATGAATAGGGTGTACCCTCTGCTCTTTTGAACAGGTGGCATATTCCCAGCTTTATGAAAAATTATACAGGTTGATAAAAAACAGCCAGTCTCCTTTTTGTGTTATTTTATTAGTTTGAAAAAAGATTATAATTACTCATTGTTAACAGTGCATCATGGTTTTAAACTTATATATTATGAAGAAGTGGTTTGAATATCCTGCATTGTTTCTGTTATTATTTAGGGATCATTTGAAACGTAAATTCTAGTATTTTATTTAATAACAAGGTACTTTTCTCAATAAAATTAAAAATAAAACTGTACTGCAGTGTTAATTTTTTTGTTTTCCTCCAGGTTTTTAACAACAGGCTTTCATTCTGGACTCAGGCAACATTGTGAATGATGGAGATTATCGGCAGTCAACCAAATAGTTCACAATGCTTTCACTGTTTTGTGGGAGGAGCTACTTGATAAATTCGTGCCAGGTCCAAACAGTTGGAAAGAATGGCAAAATAATTCTATAGATGCCAAAAGCACTTTTCTGTTGGAGCTGCTGATGCTAAGAAAAGATTGATCACCATTGTGGTAGAGGCAGGAGGAAAGCAGAGGGGCAGAGGAACTTTGTCAAGAGCAGAATATCGTGGAGCGCGTAGAGGATTGGCCCAAGATGAAGATATCAAGGAAAAATTTGCTAGCTGTATTTCATAAGTAATTTATCATGGGTTAATACTTAAAAATGGGTTCAAAATATCTTATATAATGAGGATAATCATAGGAGAAAATGTGTATACATTGTGCCCTGATATAAATAAAGTTTCTCACAATTATGTAAACAGACCAGATATTTTGCATAAGTATTGCATTTTTATATTTTGTATTCCTTTGACAGAAGAAAGTGGCATCTATATACCTCCACATGTACTTCAAATATATGTTCATAATAAAGGTATAACTACAACTGAATCTGAAAACCTGTATTTGATCCCAACTTCTGCCCACAGTTTTTTCAAGATGTTCATAGTTCCACAAAGTCGGTAAACTGGTAAATGCCAACACTATTTTCTCTATATGTCCCATATGTATTATGACAGATAGACAGTCCACAAATCCATACTGGTTTCACATTCGTCACAGGAATTTTACTGGTCATATATCACATGAAGCAACTTACAGGATAAATATTTATGGGTATATGGAATAAATATTCAAGCACATTATATCTGTTTTCATTTCTGTGACTAATTCATACAGCTTTAATCTCAGAGAGGTTATTACAGTACACATGTTGTGTACTCGCAGAACTAGAAATATTATCAAGTAGAACATTCCCCATCTTGCACATATGAAACAGCAACAATATTTTGAAAATTTAAAGTTTCAAATTTAAAAATAATACTACCTACTGCAGCAAGTACCTTTTGTCTGTAAGTATATAAGTGACTTGTTAGACACTACAACAGTCACTCAGCTAGCCAAGAGATTCCCAACCTGTTACGGAACCTGAAATTTCATAAACGTGTTCACAAAAGCCCACCACTAGTCCCTATCCTTGGCCAGTGTACCCCCTAACATAATTATAAATTTAATATAATCCTTACATCTGTACACAGGTCTTCAAAGTTGTCACTTCCAGTTCTCTGACCAAACTTTTGTATGCATTTCTAATTTACCCATGTGCTCTGCATGCCCCACCCATCTCATCCTCCTTGATTTTATCTTCCTAATAATACTTGATGCGTAAAAATTACGATACTCCCTTCACTATGCAGTTTACTCCAGTCTCCTGACACCATCCCTCCTAGTTCCAAATCTTTCCTTCATATGAGAGACCACTTCTTACAGGACTCCCGAATGTGACATTGGGTTAACATTTCAGGAACTCATTCCCTTTGTCGAAGGATTCAACATGCAACTTGCTTTGCAGAGGCTACATTTTAAGTCTTGTCACCAGAAGGTGATGACGTTTGTTTCGGTCGCAATGCTTATTTGTTGGACAGAAGCAATATCTGGTTCTAGCAGGACTCAAATGCTGTGAGAGCCGAGTTTTGTTATAACTTTAAATTTTATTAAATAGATACAGCTTGTATTCGGAAGTACAGCAGTTCAAGACTCGTTTAAAAATAATCAGACTGACAGAAAGAGATGAAGTAATAACAAAACAAGGGCTTTATGCCTTCTTCATTTGCATCAGCTGGAACTGCTGCTGCAGTTTATTGATGGCTTCGCGATGTGCATCCTGCTTCTTGTCCAGCCCTGTAATCATGTCATCTATTCGTTTCCTGCACACAGAGAGTGCAAATAAGTAACTTGTAATCTGCATCCATACTATGAGTTATATTTAATGTATATCATATCTTTGGGGTGAGACTCATTTCTTCCAATGTATTCTTGCACATTTATTAAACTTTTTCATTTTTAAAACCCTTGATAATTTTGGTAAGCAATCACAGTACAATGGAAAATGTTACAGCACAGACAAACTGGAACAGATGAAGCCAGCACGTGACAGTGGATACTTTACATATTATTATAGTTATGAATAAAGTAAAACTCTATCTTCATAATTTTCTTGATTATTGAACATACATATATCATGTGGGGAACCTATACCCTGTCTTAGAATTTTTGTGAGTTATCAGTGAGTATATCTTTTTGACGTAAATACGTCTATACGGAAGGGTCATTCGGCAAAAAGGTGTAACGAAAATGTGAAAGATCCATATCAACAATGTGTAAATATGGACTGACAACAACGGTCAGCTTTTATATGAACTCCTTCGTGCATTGTTATGTTACCTATGAAACAAACTGTTTACTCGGCACTGTTGTGTTACATTAACAACAATCCGTTTTGCTTCTTGCGGAAAGAGCTGAGCTGAGCTGTGAATCACTTGTAGATGAAGTGCGTCGTAGACTAGATAATTTTGTGCTGGTAAAAACGTTTTAGAATATCAAAAGTACTTATCTTATATAAGAACTATTACATTACAGTGACATATTTACGTCATATTCTCCAGAACCTCGGTTCCACTGTCAAATTTTCTGTCCCAAGGAAATTATCACCATTACATTTACATCATTTCCTCATTGGTAAATAATAATTACATCCCCACAAATCACTGATATCCAAATTCTGAGGACTTGAAAACACTAAATGTATATTGGTTTTAGGATACAGTTTCATGATAGGGTTTTAGAACAGGGATAGAAATTAATTTTCCCTATAACTTGTATTTGGTCATCAAATGCAAGAAGTTAACTCTGCTCTCTAATTAGTACAAGGAACATGCATTCTGCATATTTGAAACATTACTACAGTTGAACTCACAGTTCACTGCGGATGTAGTCCATTCGTTTGGAAACATTCTGCTTTGCTTCTTCCAGATCTTGTTTCACTAGCACTGGCCCTATCAGCTTGAACACTTCTGCATCTTTACGAAGCAAGTCCAATTCCTGTCATGAAAATGAAGTGTCATTCAGTCATTGTCTACCCGTTTTCAGTGGGATACCACACACTTCTGCACGTCTTTATGAACACAATGTTTCATGCAGGCATTTTCCGAACTGACCAAGCATTAGTTTCTCAAAAATTACTCTTACATGGAGATTACCACATACCTGTTTGACTGCAGTATTCTCGTTTAATTGTCCGTCCAGTTGCTGGCGCTGTGCAAGAGCTTTGTGGTAGTCTGAAACAATCCAATACCCACACATTTTATAAATTCTTACAATAATTCTAGATGGATTTCCGTATCTCCATACAAATTTTAGAAGCAACAATGCAATGAACATAAATTTGGTCTGTGTGTAATTACATGAGCTCTATGCATTCAACTCCGTACTTATATATAAGAAACCTATAATGTTATGTCACTAAATACGATCCTTGCTGTATTCTCACCTTTCTGAACAGCTTTATACTTATCAACTTCTAATTGAAGTTTATTTTGTATTTCTTCTACCATGCTGGTACCTAAACTCTACGACAGTCCTCAGCACAGAATAAACCAATTCCACAGATGTAGTTCACGGACTATAGAATTTACTTTAAGCAGGGTTATTGTAAAATTCATGACTTCGTTGTCTTCCAGTATGATTATCCATTACTTAGACATCCTGCTTTAACCCTTAATTAACGATGTACTAATGTGTATATTATAAATTCTTTTTCTCCGTCCGCGACAATAAGTTTATATGAATCAAGTGAGAGGGAACAGTTATATAAAAAAGGATATTAAAATCCTAAGCATTATTAAAATAATTCTACAATAATGATTAGTACTCCTTTGATTCTTTGGATATTAGGAGAGAAATATGTTCTGTGGTATTTAGGATCATCGTGGCATGGCCGTGACCAAATATAACATGGAGGAGTAGATCAATATTAAGATCTGTTTTACTTCGTTTGTCAACATTTTTTCTGTATTTATACTACATTTTCGTAATCTGGATTTCGTAAAGGATTGCTAAGAAATGAGATGGCACAGACACATACTTTGCCTTATTCTGGTGTGTATCGGTGCCCAAGGATTAGGTGATCCTTATAAAATACTAGGGGTTCAAAAGTCGGCTACTGTACTGGAGATTCGAAAAGCTTATAAACAGTTGGCAAAGGAATGGTAAGTGCTCACAGTTTCATATAATTTGAATGTTCTAGTAACCCTGTATTTTAAGAGCATTTATTAATTTAGATTCCATTGAATGTATTATCCCCTACTATGTTCGTTTGCTTTGCCATGGTATCACATATGACAGTAGACAATTCAAAATTAATTTACTTTGCATATTCTCATTCCATTATGTCATATGTTAGTATACTGCGATGAAATTCCAACAGGGAGCAAAAAGCATTTAGCATTCCAGAGGATAGTCATTGGAATAATGACATGTAGAAATTGAAGTAATTTACCATTTGCTAGAGAACGTTTACTCACATTATTGTCATTCACTGTGTACAACTTGGAAAAGTTTCAAATTCTGACATACATAGTGCAGACAAATACATAAGGATAACCTCCATGTGCTAAAAGCTGGCATCATGTAATTCAGTACTCTTTTATGTAACATCAGAAGATTAAATCATGATTTTAAAGTGTTTAATTCAGCATTTGCTGCTGTTTAGAAAGATTTCTTTGACTTACAATGCTAATGTATTGAAATTTTTATCTGCAGGTGGATGTTAGAGTTATGTGTTCGTATTTATGTATTAATTATTATTTTTATTTGTATTTGTATTATCACATGTTTCACGTTCTTTGCTTGGTGCTGTGAAAGATTTGGGGGATGTAAATATATTATCCTCTGTTCTTATCTGTGTCCTACAAGTCACGTATGATGTTAATATTAAACTTTTAGTTATTTCATAGATGGATTATTTGACAGTAATTTTCAGTGTACAGCCCACAGGCATTGTGAAACTCCCAGAAATTATCATATGATACATTATAATTGTCTGTTCTGAAAGTTTATGTCTGTAAAGTATAGCTTACAGTATATATTTAGATTCTTCTGTAATATTCATCAACCTAACCTTTACAGTTGTATTGCTTTCATATCTTAATACTTTGGGTATATTGGTGGCCAACCTGTCATGGATTTACTTGCAAGAATCTACTGGAATAATTCAGTTATCATCTGTGAATAAAATGTACTGACAGTTTGTTGAAATGTAAGCGCAAGTTATTTTGTGTAGTGCATCGCCTGTGGAACGTTCTATGCAGTGTAGTAGGAGGAGGTTGAAATCCACATTCCAGGATGATAAAAGTTCAAATTGTTCTTGTGTTATAAATGCACTTAAAGAAGCTGAATGGTTTTTGTAGTTTTCTCTCATTCTAGGCATCCTGATAAAAACAATGATCCAGCAGCTGAAAATAGGTTTGTGGAAATTAAGCAAGCTTATGAGGTAAGAACTTGGTTGTTATGTGTGAGGGTTTAATTAAATAATACTTTCAAGTAATACACAGTATGAAAGGTTTTGCTGTAGAATTGGCTGTTACGCTGTTGTCTGTGTTACATTCGAACAGAACAGCTGGTCTGAACTATGTTGTAGCAGGAGTAAGCTGACCTCTTGTGTCATTTATTTTGTTTATCACTGCTCCTTTCAAAGAGATAGATTAAATTAAAAGCAGCAAATGTAAAGATACATTTACCTTACTTATATTGATTTATGATGTATTAATGACTGGACTGTATGACAAAGTATAATGAATTAGAAAGGATGTTGATGGAAATTGTCAGGGCCTAATTTAAAGCATTGCTCTGGTATTTACCTGGAAGTACTGTAGATAACTATGAAAGACCTCTGTCAGTATAGCTGGTCTGCAGGCAGAGTTTTGAGCCCATGATTTCCCATACATAAAGTAAGAGAGCTGACCACTCGGCTGCAACAGTCAGTACAGCAATGTGCTATAGTAGGTGCATATATACATTGTTGGCTGTATAATAGGGATTAAAGTAAATGCTTAATTAACTACATGGAGCATAGTCATCCTTAAATGCTGTGACATGCCAGTTATGTATGGCCCAACACAATGCGTATTGTATGTATGTGGTGTGCCACTGAAACAACTAGACTGTCTGTAGAACAAGTCTGATTCTTTCTGTGATATTTCAGTGTTTGTTACACAAATATGCCGTGTTGGTAAAAATGTAGTGCACAGGTGAATGTTCCAACACTGGTTTTCGGTTTCAGGTTGATATGGTTGTTTTTGACGGCAGGATTTATAGTTTTATTAATATATGTTCTCAAAATGAAAGTGACCTTCTTGTACTTGTTCTGAAGTCCTGTTTAATTTTCCATTTCTTCCCAGTTGTTGACAGATCCTGAGCGTCGAAAACATTTTGATAATTTTGGTATCGCAGTGGAAGAAGTTTCACAGTTACACAAGAAACGAGATTATAATCAGTATCAAAGGTTTGATCCATTGGAGGAATTATTTGGGACGCAGGCGGGTGGATACAAATTTCGTTTCCATGACCGTGACATCAGCTTTTTCCATAAATTAAGAGTTACAACGAGGTAAATATTCTGCTTTTAATACGTATGTAGATGTATCTGACTTATTATAGTTTGTTTTAAAATGTACAGCGATATGCATTTGTAGTGTTCATCATTGCAGAGATTTAGAATCTTTGGTGTAAACTTGTATTCAGTGCCATTTCATTCCTTTTTATAAATTACAAATAACTAACTCTCTGATAATAGAATTTCAAGGTTTAATATCATTAACATCAAGCCACAGGCCACTTCCATCCACCTTTCTTCATGACTACCTCTTTCCATAAGATTAATCTGAATGTTATCGTCACATCTCCTTCTCGTCACTTCAAGCCGACATTCTCCTATTCAGCATGTATTAATTTGCACCCCAATATTTTAGCTGCATATCCAGCCCATCAAAGCATCCTGCAATTCACTAACCTGACAATACAAGGTAACGTGTAAAACCTCATGTTATGATTAATACATCATGTTTTTTAGGTGTCCTGTACATTACTGTGTAATTATACATTGGTCTCTGACATGGCTTCGTAGCTACTGATTGTATAACTTTATATGCTTGTGATGTTTGGTTCTTGTATTGCAGAGCATATGAGAACAAGCTTGTCCCAAAGAGCTATGAAGTTCCATATCTGATTTTGTTTTATTCGGATTGGTGCTTCGCGTGTTTGCAAGTTGAACCAATCTGGCGCCACATCATAGAGGAGTTGGAACCAGTTGGAGTTGGTATAGCAACAGTTCATGCAGAAAAAGAACCATTACTGGCTCGAAAAATTGGTGTGCATTCTCTCCCATGTTTGATTTTACTCATTGATGGAAAAGCAAATGTTTACAAAGAGACATTGTACAGTGTACAGAAAGTTGTAGGTAAGGTTATTTTTATTTTGCGTAATTCTTCTAATGATTTAATCGCTTCATAATGCACAGACACGTCTACATTTTATTTACGAATAAATATGTGTATAAACGTTTTAGTTCTTATGTCGGTACCTTTGATGAGATCCTGTAAGTTTTAATGGGAAAGCGTTTACTGTGTTTCCTAATCTTGTTCTTTCATTTTTCTCCAAGCCATCTAAGTGTACTGTTATAACTCGGTTAATATCAGATACATTCTAAAAAAGTTAAATCAAAGAGTCAGCTTATGTACTGTTACAAGACTGACTGATTTGTTATAAAGAGTTCCAAATACATGATATTCTACTTGTTCAGTAGTGTGAATTGAGGCATCAGCACATTTGTACCAAATATAGTATTAATTTTTCAGTTACATAAAAGTGAAACAGCATTATGCAAAGCGACATTGTTTTGAATATTTTTATACTTGAATTGGCATGAAGTAATGAAATTTAAAGAATTAAAAGTGTACGTATGGGTCACTCAGAACTAAAGAGGGTCATGTCTACCGTACCTTGTTTCAATACAAGTTGCTTTATAAAGTTAAATCCAGTGCCTTAAATGTAGTTAAACAGATGGTGTCGTTGTCTTTTTCTTGCCTTAGTTTGGTTTAGAGAAGACCTGTGAAGAAAACTGAAGCTGCGGCCCTCCTGTTCATGTAACTAAAATTGTCTATTCTTTGGACTTGGCCCACTTTACTTTTTACAAACCCATATTCAGGATTGGGACTGTGCAGGAGGAGAGTGTATGAAAACAGCATGTTGCTAACAAATTTTCTTTTCCTTAGATTTTGTGAGGTCTAGATTTCCATACAAGTTGGTCCAGCCAGTTTCAGATGACAATGTGAATGCATTTTTGAATGGCTGGATAGATAACCGTGTTCGAGCGCTCATATTTGAACGTCACAAGACCATCAGGTTGCGATACCTGCTCATGGCTTTCTACTACAAGGACAGGGTAGCCTTTGGGTTAGTATCTTGAATGTAGTTCAGTCGTTATTGTTAGCAGTTTGCTCAATAACGCTGGCTGGCCTCTGTAACCTCGGAAGTGCCGAGGTTCATCAGTTTAACAGTGAAATATTGCATAAAATACCATTGTCAGTTATATCAAGGACCTCGGTGTTTTCAGTACTCTTAGCAGTGTTACCTTTTTTAAAGTTATTATATAATGATTTGGTGTATTTTGTGGCATTTAGTGGGACACCTCATTTACGTATCTGTTGATGTTGAATGTCTCTTAATAATGAAATCACAAATGCAAGCTCATGGAAGGATGAAAAAAAATGTTATATATAATATTTAGTATTAATTTTGAAACAGCTCAATTAGAAGGGAATGTTTTTCAGAATAGTTTGAGGATAAGGTTACATGTTATTGATTATTTGTTCTGTATATTGCCGAATGATATCAGTCTTTTGAGGGAAATATGGACATTAAAAAGTCAGACCAATGCAGACCTGCATTAAAGCTCATAAACAGTTTGAATATCAAATTACTTCATGTTATTCAGATAAACATCATTTTTTTGGTTTTCAGTTTTGTTCACCTGAATTCTCCAAATATAGAGAATATTCGGAAGAAATTTAAAGTTCCTCTGGATATTGAAACCCTTCTCCTTTTTAATGAGAATGTTAATCGATCTGTAGCAAGCTTGAGTATGGCTGATATTCCGGTCAAAACGATGCAGGACGTCATTGATAGTAACAAGTACCTTGTCTTACCAAGGCTGTCTTCTCAGGTGAGTGGTACATTTGTATCTCATTTAGGGTTTTTCTTCTTACCATCACACAGGATTTTACTTGAGGACCATCACTACAAAAATTGCTGTTTTTTTTCTGTGGATGCGTATACACATACTCAAATTACTTCAGACTTCATATATATATATATAGTGTCATTAAATTATTATGTTTTGTCTACAGGGTATGTTTGATGCATTGTGCCCACCAGAATGGGCTCCCCCTCGTAAACGTCTGTGTGTGGTGCTGGTTTCAGAGAACACGCCATATCACGATGAGCCACGCCAGGCTCTACGTGAGTTTGCGCAGGAAGCACCCTACAGTGCTGAGAGAGTTCGCTTCACATATGTTTTCCAAGAGAGACAAATGGAATTCGTCAGTGCACTGGCTAATGGTATGTTAATATATTTCCAACTTTTACACAGCATAATAGCACTCGGACTTATTGTTGCAAACGAGGTCGTGTTTGTTTTCCCGTCCCTTGTGATCTGGTGTTAGACGTGATTATTGTGCTGTCTAGAAGACCTGCAAACTTTCACAATGGCAACAAGTTTGTATATACATGTCAGCTAGCCAGAAGAAAACTTGGCAGTTGGCTGATATTAATGTTTTGTTGGTCTTTTAAATGGCTGTGTAAATGTTATTTTATTTCACTGTAATTGAATGGAGAGCACATCTTTATGAAGATTTATGCAAATGTCATCTGTGATCTGTTGCGTTGCAATAGGCGAGGGAAGTCCAGCAGAACCTCTTTTGCACGTTGTGATAATCTGGAGACGAGACAGTAATCACATCAAATATGAGTGGCTGCCACATACTTGGAATGGTGCAAAGAGCCATGAGTGGAATGAGACCAGGGACCGTCTGGAGTCCACAATTCAGCGGTTACTACATGCATCAGGGGCCCTATCATGTGAAGCTGTTATAAAGGTAGTGTTCATTACATTGATTTAAGCAGTAAACTAAAGCCATAGGGGAGAAGAAGTATAGCTCCTGCTCATTCTCAGCCTCGGCGCTAGAAGGGGGTGAGTGGTCAGCAGCACACCCTGGCCGCGCTTTACTCCCAGGGAAAGGACCCCTGGTACCCATTGGACAGGATGCAGGTCGGGCCCCAGACCTGGTCTTGACGCAGCGGCCAGAGGAAAATCCTCTGTCCCTGTCAGGGTGCAAACCCAGTTCATCCAGCCTGTAGCCAGTCACTATGATTTAAACAGTATCAGACCTTATTTTTCTTACAGAACTTTGTCTTTCAGATTTTTGTGCCAGAATTTGAGGATATAGTTTTATTGTTTTTCTTTCAGGATCTCATTGATGAACATGCTCAGGGAATCGTGTCAAAAATTCTTACAAAACTTCTCCAGACTGCCGACTTCTTCAAAGACAGCATTACGAAGGACCAGCTGTTACCTGTTTTGTCTGTTGTAGCTACAGTTTTATTCATTATTGCTGCTGGCTACATTTTATCCTATATTGTGTAAGTGGCAAAGGTTTATCTTTGGAGACATACGCGTTCGACAGTAAGTTACTTCTGTGACTCATCATTTGCACTCATCACCATATTAGTAGTGTGACCAAGTCAAATATATTGAGGTGGGTGGGAGATGTATCACTTTAGGATACGTGGACGACACTTTTAATTCAAAAAGTTTTTTAAAACAGAGTGTATGAAATTATGGGAAGAGTGATGTATGTCTGTCTTCTTCACACTAAGTTTTGAGTTGTAGGTTATATGATGAGGAAGACTGAAATTAAGCTCTGAAACATTCAGTGTTTGTTTCTCCCCAGACGAATGGAGGAAGAAAACATAAAGAAGCAGCAGTATGCTAACGGACAGAATGTTAAAGATGAAAGTATGACATCCAATGACATTGGACAAAGTGATGGATTTGTATGTAATAACAACAGAAAGACAAAGGCAGCAGCACCGCAAATACGTCTTTTACACGAACTGCGTGCGGAGACATTCAATGGCATGGTCCGAATGTTGAAACCGGGCTGTCGATCGATTATTGTACTGGTGGATGCTCAGTCAAAGAGTAAACTGTTACCAGAATTCCACAGAATTGTGTGGCCTTACCGAAAGTACGTATTAAAGATTATAATTTCATTATTTTTATATATAAAGAAATATAGAGTTTAAATGAATTTATTGAATGATTAAAGTATGCAAGTACAACTATCTGTATAGTATCTTGGAATTTTAACTTTGTGTTTTTAGTTTATTTCCGCTACAGACTTGTATCTTCCAGGGTCTTACATCCTTCAGCACAAAAATGGTGGGCACTGATGTCTCAGTTGCATTAATTTCTCTCTGTTTGAACATTACTTCTTGAAATCAAGCCCAAAAATATGCTATATGCAATCCACAAATCATTTCTTGCAAAAACCTCTTCGTTTCTGGCTTGCCTTGTAACATTAGATTTTATCTGTGATTTGTAGTTCTTTAACAGCAAACTTCAAATAGTCCATATGGCCACTGATAGGTGGCGGTGTCTTCAGAAAAGAATCATAGTGAAATTATTTTGAATTGAAATTGACAATGCACTAAGTGGAACAAAATGTGTTGTTGAGTCTGCCTCGATGTTAGAAGGAGTTAATTGTGAAATACTTATAGCCAGTTTCCTTACTAAATGTTTATGTTGGCAGGAATAAGACGCTTATGTTTGGCCACATGGCTCTGGAACGTGGATTGGATTGGTACAAGTGCCTACTAACACTAAGTTTGCCTGAACCAAGAGATCTGAATATCAATCCTCGTAATTGCATTGGCACTGTTCTGTCATTGAATGGACATCGCAGATATTTCTGTATGTATCATGCTAAGCATCCAGAATGTATCAAGGGTAAAGCATCCAAGGTACGTTCTGTTTTAAACGAGGGGTGATGAGAGGTCAGTTTTGAACTTTATTCTAAGCTGTGTTAAAATGAGAGTTCCGAGTCCATTTACATGTCTGGTTCAATGCGAGTTAAACTCTTTGATTAATATTATTGTAATTATGCACTTCCCATGTTTCGTGTGCTGTAGATCGTGAGCACACAATCTTTGCTTTGCTGAGGAGGACTGTATTCTTCAGATGTCTATTGGGGACAGATTGTACCTTGTTCTTGGTTGTTTATCTCTCTTTTCCTCTTTTTGTTACATTTCTTTTTTGTGACTGATGTGAATAATGACAGATCATAAACCAAGTTAATCGACAAAGATTGTTTGCAGAAAGTGGGTCTTCAAATTTAATGATTAGTCATTAATTGATGTACATTTTGCCCTGTATTTTGTTAAGGTTTTGTAGTTCCTGTGATTGACAAAGTCATTTTGTGCTGGAATGAAATTAGTTGTATTGAGTTTTTGCTGTTTTATAAATATTGCTTTAATTTTTTATTTACCGTCTTTACACAAACTTAAAAATGTTGTTAAAATTACTTAAAATTATAACATTTTTTCATTAGATACAGATCTTGTTACATTTTACATTTGACGACATGTTTCGATGTTATTTCATCATCATCAGGTCTATCAATTAAAATCTGTTGCACTTCTTGCTCTGCGTATATTGATTTGTTTTATTTGTTTGATTTTTTAAGTTCCTTCCATTAAATTTGAAGGCTGTGCCCGGATGCTTTAAATCTGTAAAATTTAATTTTAATTTTCAAATCGTGATTTTGGATAATGACATAGGAAATAGAATAATTTACTAATTTAAAGAGTTATTACGTAAATTAGTAAATTATTCTATTTCCTATGTCATTATCCAAAATCACGATTTGAAAATTAAAATTAAATTTTACAGATTTAAAGCATCCGGGCACAGCCTTCAAATTTAATGGAAGGAACTTAAAAAATCAAACAAATAAAACAAATCAATATACGCAGAGCAAGAAGTGCAACAGATTTTAATTGATAGACCTGATGATGATGAGATAACATCGAAACATGTCATCAAATGTAAAATGTAACAAGATCTGTATCTAATGAAAAAATGTTATAATTTTAAGTAATTTTAACAACATTTTTAAGTTTGTGTAAAGACGGTAAATAAAGAATTATTGTATTAATAAACACAAACATGACGCAATTAAGATATAAAATATTGCTTTGTTTTTAAGCGGATGGTGAAGATGACAAAGCGTTTTAGTAATACAGTTGACGGAACAAATGGCGCTTTCATGGGTTTTGACACAAGTGAATCAGATGATAGTAACACGTCGGATGTCGAACAAGGAAGTCATCTTTTGGATAATGTAAGTATGATGCTGGAAGGTGATAAGTGGGATGTATTCAAATCACTTTCCAGTTGTGAATTAAATTAATCTAAATAAATTGTGACAAATATTTATGATTGTAAAGTCTTTGTAAAATTCACTGCAGAAGTCAGTGACCAAAAAGAAATAATTAGGTATTAGTTACGTTATTATGCTGTCTCCAACATTTCAGTTTTTCTGATAATGTGTATGCTTAAGAATATTAACTCTAGTGTGAATCCTGTATACTGAAATCTTCTTTTCTTCGGTGAATACTTTGATGTTGCACCTTCTTGCAGGCGTCTGCCACTGACAAGTACAGCAATGTTCTTTTCCAAGGAAACTTGCTTGATGGGCTTCCCAACTGGTTGGATCGCTTGTTTGAAGGCACAACGCACCATTACTACATCAGTTATTGGCCAGATTTTACCCCAAAATAATGTAACAGTATCATAACCAAATTAATGCCCCACTTTGTTTAATTTATTTGTGGTGTTTCATTATTGAATGTACAGACTTCCTGTGTGAATAAGGATAAGTAAATTTTTGAAAAGTGTAACAGTGTTATTGTGTGCTAACCACAGCCAAAATGTATTTTATATATACTGTTACAAAATCATGGAGTCTTCTGGTAAACACACTTATCAGAGAACAGTTACAGTTTCTGAGCTGCAGGGTAATATTAACAGCCTCAGAGTATCAGAAATATGTTACGTTAAAATTTAAATCCTCACCGTGACAGAATTTTAGTAATGTTTGAATATATTCATCATGGTCTTCTGAGTTGTGACGCTGCACAGCGTCATAGGTTGTTACCAGCATTTTGGAGAATTTATCTTTTCCATCTTTGGGGTAGAATTTATACCTGGATGTACAAGATGACATACCATCACAACTCGAAGACTGCATTTGATATCGTTGCTGTGAGACTCTCAAATTTAAGAAAGTTTGAATATAAATTAATTACTTCATCAGATGTATTGGTGTGGTAAATTGATCTCTGCTGCATGCGGGTAGTAATAACAGTAGTAATAATATTAGTAATATTACCTTGCATCAACTCACGAGAAGCTCAACTTTATGCTGTGTCATCGGTCGAGTACAGTTCAAGATGGACTGTCACTTGGCCCTCAGTTGTTATACCAGTTTGTTTTCTCCTCTGCTATAGTTTAGTATTTCGATTCTGAGAACTGTAACACTTTGGAAAGAAATTCCTGGCACTTGAAATTTCTACTTTTGGTAGAAGAAAGTGTCATAATTTACAGTCTTTGTATGTATAGTGATTAATATACCAAATAATTTATTAACACAAGTTACAAGAAAGAAAATTTTATTGCAAAGACTTTAATGCAGTTTCTCGTAAATAACATACCATGCGTGTGTGTTCGTTCCCCATATTTAATTATTTTGTTCATTCGTACCTCTGTTTTTAACCGGTTGAGAATGTGAATATGTATGCATATGCAAATTGTGGTTTTTGGAATGCTTTTTCCATACCATTACCCATATTTTAATGATTATGGAAAAATTTGTTTTTGTGTTTTTAAATATATATTTAGCTTTATTCTAGTCACTGTTAGTAGAAAGAAATATGTACAGAAATGTACATTTTTAATTGTAGACATTTTTATTCTTTTTTATTATGCAGTTCTGATTATCAGAAAACATTTTAAAGACAATCCATTTATTGAGTGTGCAGTGAAGTATCACTTGTAAAGTGCTAAAAACAGAAGGTATATCTGAGATTTATTAAGTGATCATTTTGTATATATTGTAATATTTGTAGTTGTATTTAGGTGTTAGTTATAAAACTGAGACCATGTATGGTGGTCATGTGACATGAAGATGACTGTTGTCTGGTGTGTTGTTGCACTGTGTAGTCTGGTAGAAATTCACTGGCACAGGCTACGCTACATGATTAACGTAGACCATGGCTTGACCTGTCTTCGCACACCTGCTGGAATGAGATATCTACTGGTTTTGATGGCTTTACTGTGGGCAAGTTCAGCAACCTTTGTGCACCAGGCTCCTCTACACAGATGCAACTACAACTAGTATCACAGCTGTCAACATCGACTCATTGGACCTTCGCAAGACTATTGGCTTTGCCATGCTCACCGCGGCTTTGGTGGCCCTACCCTATGCCTGCCACCATCATGATCATGGCAATCAGTACCTCTGAAACACTGGTCAGATTCTACCAAGCTTTTTAACATGCAACATATTGAATATGTTGCCGATACCTAGACACATTCCTTATCCTTTCAGAAAACAAATGAAGAGTTCTATCAGTATACAAATATTATGTTGACATTGTCCATTGTCTGAGGTTCATTTGATATTCTGGGATTTGACTCTTTTGTATTGTTTAGATGACTGGTTGTCATTATACTGAGAGATTTTATTAATTTTTAAATGGTTCAAACACAGGATGTTTTGAATACTAGATTAGTTTTCTAACAATTAGACCACTAATCTTAAAAACTAATAAATAATCTATCAGTGTAATGGAAACCAATCATTTGGAAATGAGGTCAGTTCCTGAGATGCTGTGTGCAGCGACATACGTACCTCACACAACGCATGGTGTCTATTTTTCAGGTGTACATTTCAAAGCATTGTTCAGTGTATTCAAATATGTACACTAACTAGATGGCTTACTGAACCAGAAGGTTTGTCACTGAATTAACCAAAGCCCTCCACCGGACCCTGTCCTGGGCCAACAAATATATACACTTCTGTCAATAAACAAACTTTTTCTTTTCTTTTAATTTTAAATTGGTTCTGTATTAAGGTTAACTCATTTTGAAAATATGCAGCTTGTAAATTCAACCATACATGGTCCAGTAGCTTTAGTTTAGAAGTACTTGTCTGTTGTTATTTATGTAACCTTGTGTTATTCTGCACGGTCAACATTTCCTCAGCTGTTGAAATGTCCATAGTAACGCCTTATTTCATGTGGTTCACGTGTAAACTTGTAAACAAGGCTTTTAGGTAATGATAGTGCATTATAATATTCATGCACTGAAAATAATTCATACTCCTTCTAATCTGCGTTATGAAGCAGACTATTATGTAGGTTTTAGGAATATTTACATTTTCTGGAATTTGTAAAGTTTGAAAATTTTTAAAAGTGCTATCATGAACTGCAAAGAGAAAGATCTAATATATTATGTAGCGTGTAGCACTCTTCATACAAACTTTGTGGGTTAAATTTGCAGTGGAGTTAGAACAATCTAAACTACCAAGAAATTTGTGATCTGTAAGGTGAGTAACTGCCACATCAGCTGTGATTTGTAAGTACAGTGAGTGCACTGTAAGTTAGGTTAGGTTATGCCAATGTTGTGATTGGTGGATTGTGAGGATAGTAGTAGCAGTAAAATTTAGTGTCATGGGGACAGGAATAGGACTTTGTGTGCCCCTTTGATCCTATTCTGAAACAACAGGTTACAGAATATGGAAGATGATAGAAAAACTGATAGAATGAAGGATAATATAATTTAAAATTTAATGGCATGACAGTTTTGTAAAATTCTCCAGTATCAAAGTTGGTTCTTTCATATATATATATATATATATATATATATATATGGATGGACAGTGATTTTAACAAGCACTCCAAAGAGCTGTGGACATGCCTGATAATACTGAAATACAAGTAATTATATGTAGATCATGAGAATGCTATGTCTAAACTGAAGTGTATGGAAGATAAATGTCTAAACTGTGAATAGAATAATCTTTTACAATTTAAAAGAATTTTTACCACAATAACAAAATCACTTTCTTCGTAAATGTGAGAAAGAATGTTAATGCATCATCTATATCAGTTCTATGTAAATAGTGATATTTGTTTATTTGAGCCACTGCAAATAGAATCTTGATATTTCAGATGTACAAAACTCCACTGTTTATATTATTAGTTTACAGTAAAGGACAATTAAAATATTACATTTTACAGTATTTAAAAAGGTTTGAATATATATAAACTAGTGAGGTAGAGACTGGTATGTACGTGAGCACGGGCCATGTTTAACATAAAACTAAACTATAAGACTTGAAGAAAAAGAACATTTCAGCTCAAAGCTGACTACCAGACTGAAGTGAGTTAATAGATGGTGTCAGTATATGGAGATAGAGTTTGATATTTCATTAAACAACTTAGTTTTGTAGAAGATATTTCCAATTTTCCTGAAAATGAGATGTCACAATTTTAGACATTACACCATTTCATTCCATACACTAGGGACATCATAGTGTTTAATATAGCACCTATATTGTATTGATCAGTCTCTTTAATATGACCAAGCTGATGAACTGTGCAGGGGAGACCATTAAAATTAATAAAATGTCTTTCATGGGTAATATGAACACTTTTTAGCATTTCTTAGTGAACTGTATAAACGAAATATTACAACATAATCTGTTTGTTTAAGTAAAATATCTTTAAATTGTAATGTTGGACAACAGCACGAATTATATCATTTTATGTTTAAGTGTGTTCAAGGTAGATTGATAGGTAAACAGTTTTATAAAGTTGGATGATAGTAGAGTACATTTTTGCTTCAGGACCACTACTTAATATAAAATCCTTTATAGTCTATGCCTTCACTTTATACATAATTAAACATTTATATGAATGTTATCATCTTGATCTTTGCAAAAAAAAAATCCAGTATCATAACAAATAACGAAACAGAACTGCCAGTGACACAGCATTATAAATACAGGGTGCATGCGGTTGTGCTGACTACAGCTGCAGACATTACAACCCATCAGGCTAGAAGTTGCTTCATTGATGGTTGCACAGTTGTACAAGGAAAGTCTTGGGATATACTGTATGCAAAGTTGGACCTATCAGACAGGCTGTCTAAAATAGACATTAAAAATAATAACAACCTGGGTTAACTTACGCACATCACATTCTTTAAATTGAGCAGAAGTTTGTCAGTGATTTTGTACATGTGTATGAATACAAGAAATATCTGAAGATGATGCAGTTTATACATGGTTGTACAGGAATCTGTTTAGTTGTTATCTTAGACCATTGCTAGAAATTTGTTTTGCATGTTTACAAGGTGCAAATGAAATTTTAATAAACTATATAATAAAATTTCCCTTTATAAATAACAATTTATAATCTTTTCCATTAGTGCATTCATTCTCTACCTTTCTGGGTTACACGTGCGTCACAATATCACTCCAGGACATCCCTCTTCTTTGTCAGCCAAGAGTCATGTCGTCATTGCAGAAGTATTATTGTTTCATAGAGAACCATTAATATTGAATACACACAGGAACATACCCTGAATTTAATTTGGGAAGCAGGGTGGAAGTTAAAATGAATAGGTGAACATATTCAAAGTTCCAGTACCAAGATTTATAACTAAGATTTAATAGCCTAATGTACATAAATCCCTCATATTTTGAGAGCAAGGTGTGGCTACATAAATCCTCAATCATGACCATGCTGACTTCAAAGAAAGAACTCGTAGGTCCTAAAGGTTCTGAACATACTTCAGCTGCACTACTGCAGGCAATATGCCGATTGACAAGCATATTGGCACAAACAGGAACTGTGCCACAGGAAGGTTTACAGGTGTCTGCATCATTCCCTAACAATTCACCTGTCAAGTAACAACAGAGGAAGAAAAATTCATGTCAGCAAGAATGAGCAGTGCTCACTGCATGTTCCTTCACAAGTTATACCACACTGTCCTGTAAACGTATTAAAGGTACAATTTGGCTGCACGCGACAAGAGACGGGAGACGGACACATCGCAGCTTGTCGCCACACACTTTTGAGGTGACGACCGAGACATGCGGCAAAGTGTTTGTTTTCTTTGTTTTGTTGAGACATACGTGCACATATTGTGAAAAATGAGTACAAAAATGCTTCTAAAAAGGTTACTCGAAGAAGAAGATGTGTTGCTGTGTTATTTGTTGCGAAAGAAACAAAGAAAACATATGAGTTCAATATTCAAAACCAGACGCGAAGAAGGATCTTTCTGTCAGTGGTCAGTGGTCGGTTTTCTGCTACTAACACTACCAATTGCTCATCTTGGTCACCAGTAAATTTAATTTCTGCCATTATTTTACTCAACAACACACGTGCTGCCTGAGCCCGTCGCGAGACACTACTGGTCCGAGAGCAGTCTCCTGTGCTTTGTCTCTGTCGCCTGTCTTTGTCTCGCGCTCGTAATTGTACTTCATACGATTGTACAGAGAGCAGACAGGAAGCGACCAGTCTCGGTCTCACAATTCTGTCGCGTGCAGCCAAACTGTACCTTAAGAGGAAAAGGATGAACACTCAGGAATACGGCAGCAGGATGTCAACACTAGGAGGGCCTCCAGAAGCCATCCTGCTGCATACACGAGGAAAACCATTTACAAAACAACACTGAAATAGTAATTTTTGTTTCCTTTACCTCTGATTCTAGTATATGCTACATTGTAAGATTTGAGGTTTTCACAGCGGTGAGTATGAAGATTTCCGTCTTCTGGGTTGTTGCGCTGTGTCAGGGCGATGACGGAGGCAGTATGACCTCTGAAACGTTGGTTAACATCGACCAGACTACACAGCGCAACAACCCAGAAGACGGAAATCTTCATATGCTACATTATTCTCCAAGGCCCACATCAGCAAAGCATTGTGGAACTGATGTTATACAAAATCTCGCAGCTGAGAAATCAGTTATTCTGAGTTTTTTAGTTTCTTCAGTCCGAGGCAAATACTGTGATAATACCTTCAAAGGTTGAGGCAGTATATTGCTCTGAAATGATATCTAACCTACAGGTCCACATGGCCTTTCTGCTTAGAAGATGAATGTCAACATGTTTTCTGTGATAATTTAACAGACAGAAAGCTTTCTATGAGCAGAGAAGATGCTTCTTAAATCTTGATACAGTAACCTTCTGCGAATGGACTCTGGGAACTTGTGTCAATTGTTACTGATGGAGTACCTATATATTTATGTAGCACAGATGGTTTTATAATTGTCTGAAAGAATGGTAGATCATTTCCTACACATAAATGATGTTATTTGCTTTGCATCACCTAATTTCCATAAAGAACATAAAGGTCAATGAAGTATGGAAATATGCAAAGAATCTTCATCAATAAGAAAGTAAGAAATAAATACACCCATGGATGTTTTTCTCACTGAACATGCATTTCACATCATCATTCACTGGCAAACTAAACAAAGATAATCAGTGTCATGGATACCTCACACTTAATGCAACTCCATCCACAAACTATTGGAGACCTGGTCAAAACAGCTAAAAAAAGCCTACAGTCACAGGCAGAACATGTTCGCTACATAGCCAGTGGACTATGAAAGCAGGAAACGACCTGCAACTGGAAGAGTCTCTACGTTGCATTCAACTGTACATCATGAGATGGCTTTAAGGTTTAAAGCATGTATTTACAATAGCAAAAGGCCCAAGGCTCTCTTTACAATGTGATTTCAAATATGCAACAGGAAACAGTAAAAAGTACCAAAATGAAAAATACAAATTTTATACAGTTCCATTTCTACTTATTAACTGAAGCACTACACAGGGCTATGTTTCGCCAACAAAGTCATCTGGACAAGAAATTTATTTTGCAGAGACTTCTTGGATGATAATGGCGAAGGTCACTTCCATGATCATTTATTTGCCTAGAAATATAAGCAATCAATATAAACAAACTGCAGACACAAACAATGGGCATTGTAATATCAGAATACTCTGTAATTCAGCAAATGAAACCGATGAGAAAGGAACAAACATTTGTGAATGAAGATATAATTCATGATTCCATGACATGAATAAAATAATTAATGTTATCAATGCACCTTACTCTGACAATTATTCCTTCCTTTCAATCCACTTTATTAGCATTTTCCCTTACTATGTTCATTGTTTAAATGTCAATCACTGTACCTTGCTCTGTTTTGAAGTAGAATCGGATAGCGTACTATTCAAATCAAGTTCACAATTTCTATATGCCTTTCCTATTCCAAAACCTGCTCCAAGAAATATAGGCCAACTTCTTCCTACAAAAAATAGAATTTTCAAAATTAATGACACTTCCAAATCACATAACGGCAACTAGATTTCTAGGAGGTAGACTTCTGAGGATAAAAAATATTTCCAGTATACAGCATAACCTTGCATATAGCTTGTCTAATTCATTTACTGTGAGCCAGGAACATACAAATCTACATATAAGGTCTCAGGTACCCAGCTGAAATGTGTCATATACTTACGTTTAAAAAATATGGTTGTTACAACTGCACCAATAAGAATTCCTCCTCCTAATAAAATACATAAAATGTTAAAAGAGATGGCAATATTCTTCATTCAGTAAATAATATTGTAAACTGCAACATCAGTAAATAATATTGTAAACTGTAACATCACAGAACACGTGTTTTGCCATAACAGTTTATTGTATAATTATGCATGTATAAATCGGTATAACAGTATTTCTGTGGTCACACCATCTTCATGAAACCAACAGGAAAACTGTGGGGAATTAAATTACAAAATACTGTTATTCCGATTTCTGAAGTTATTGACATTAATGACAAGTACATAATGAAGTCAAATAACAGTAAGGGCTGGCAAAATATGCCTTGAAATTAATTATACACTTTATTCTATGAATACTTGATGCCAATGCTGTGAAACGCTGAGTATTAACCGACAACGGATGACATCTTGTTTTTCAACTAACCATTCACAGTTAATCCAGTTCAATTAAATAAACACATTTACCCGTCTTTAACACGACGTCTGTTAAACACCTGTCCCATTTTCTTCCTAACTCATCCTCCGCAAACACTGCTGATGCTGCCATTTTGAAATAGAGTAAAGAAGACCTCTGGTAAAAATCGAAAATAACTTACAATGAGCTACAGTGTTCATAGAAAACCAAAGTCTCAAGCGCTAGTTGACCAATTCCATCGATTCTGATCTTCATATAAGTTTTTACAATATACTTCCATTTAAAAGTAACCTTTTACCATTGGAAATAAAATATCATACAATTAATATTTTTACCGAAATACGTGTCCAAACTACTGATCACAGATGTATAAAGTGAACCAAATTTCTGATCAACTGTGATGAAGGGCATAATCGACACGTATTATGAGATTCCAGTGAGCGGGAACTGCATTATCTGTGGTGTTATGGGTTGTGGTTTAGGTTTATAATTTTGTGTCGTTTGTGGTTAATTAGGACTTTATTCGGTTTAAAAGCCTTTTGTTTAGAAAATTTATTATTAGTGTCTACAGCATATACATTGTAATGCCTGTAAGTCATACATACTGTTTATTATTTTATTCGAACGCATATTTATGGGTGTGGTTAGGTTATGTGTCCATAAGTTATGAATTAAACGTGGAAACCAATTAAGTCTGGAAACTTTCTACATCGTTTCATAAATTGACAACTTCTTTAGCTGCAGGATTGCCACAGTTGTAGTTTTCCACAGTATGATAAATGTCTTCATTTGACAGTATCCATGTGTCTGTAAATCTGTATATATTTCTGTATCGGCACATGTTTGGCTGTCATCGTATATTTTATTATATAGGTTGTATATAAGTATTTATTATTCTATACATACAGCAATTCCCTGTTGACATAGATTTAGTAACAAACTTATTTTGTTTGTAATAAATTGTAGCTGCCTCTTTACATATAATTCAGAATTGATAAGCAACTGTTACTGATATGATAGTGTTTATGATTTGGTCCATTAGTGTATTTTATTTGTGGGAAATTTTCTGTAACTATTATGTACTTGTATTTTCTAAATGTGATATATAATAGTCTGTTTGCACCCTTTGTAGGGTGTTCCAGATTCATCTATATCTGTTGATGACAATCAGACCTTTTTTGTTTTGTAGGCGTACCACTCATGCTTTCTGGAATATAACCAGATGGTCGGAAATATGGCCATTCTTCCCTTCAGAACTCAATTCAGAGGCCCTGCTCCAACATTTACGAAGGATATTGATATAATTGATGAAGCTTTATATTTCTTTAAGGCTAATGTATTCTTTAGAACATATGAAATAAAGGTAAGAATTTAATGGACATGGTAATTACAGTAGATTCTGGTTAATTGGGCCATCGGTTATTCTGGGCAGCTGTTTATTTGGGACAAATCTTAAAGAACAAACCATTTTAACTCTTTGCATGGAACTTCGCACAGTTGGGGCAGTCGCTTAATGATGTGTCCCAATTAACCGGAATCTACTGTATATATAAAAGTAATAATATCTGGAAACTGAAACTGACAGCCTAGCAGTATCCGTGAACACAGTTGAACAGAGAATGATATAATTCTGTCCACTTTCTGTTACCGCTGAAAGTACAGCATCACTAAGGGAGCCTATGTGGAAATTTTGAAATAAAAACTTGCTGAGATAAGCTTAATTCCTGTGTTTTAATGTTTTTTAATATCTCTATTGGTTAGTAATTTGTAGCCTTGGAAATTCGTGTATTCACAAACTGGACATTTTGTAAACTATATGCATTTCATAGAAAAAACAACCATGTGTACATATATATGCATATATATGTACACTATGTATATAGCCTGTGTGTGTGCACATGTGTGTATAAAGGAAATATGGGCATGGTGCCTTGTTCTGTGGCAGAGTGAAGCAGACAGGGTACTGATATATATTACGCTGTACATCACGGAGTGTCTGAAGAAATTGCAGAAATGCAGCACCAAGAACCAAGGCATGCATGAGATGTACACATTGGCTATATCCAAGTTTGACATTCCTGGTGAACCTGGATTTCCGCTCAACTCGGTTTACGCGAAACCCATCAATTCCACAGAAGCTGGTGAGTGCTTTCCTTATCTTCTCTTCTGATGTTGAAGAGTTGGGTTAGGGTCTGTCTGTCTGTCTCAGAATTTTATGTATTCTCACGATTAATGAGCAATTCAGAACTGCAAAGAATAAATTGTGAAAATGTATGAATTGCACCGTCCGTGCAGTGTGCCTCATCCCACTTCTTCGTGTGTTGTAAGAACTAGCTTCCAAGGGTATAATAATGTGTTGCTGCTGTGTTTCAGATCTGATGAGACAGTACTTGCAACAGATCAGGCAGGAGACAGGCGTGCGGGTGTGTGAAAAGGTGTTTGGGACAGATGATGGTAAGCCATCAAAATGGTGGCTGTGCTTTGCCAAGAAGAAATTCATGGACAAATCACTGTCTGGCCCAGGGCAGTAATGAAACACTATCTTGTTTTATATTGTAATTGTATATACTTTATGTATCTGTCTTTAGGCCTAAACTGTATTTGGAATTATGTCTATTTTCTTCTTGTATTGTTGGTCATGATAAAAGTTTCAAGATAATAAACATTAATTTCTATATGTGGTTATGAAAGTCTTCGCTTTAGAGTTATGTGATTTTGACGTTTACTGTAGCCATTTCAGGCAAATGTTTAGATAAGAATGTGCGGTGTCACAGCAGTATGGCTATTAATCTGTGTAATAAATAAGAAATTTGTGTATGTCTGTGCCTATTGGTATCTGTCCTGCCTGGTGATTTTTGATCATTTTGACTGATGGTGATTTTGACTGTGAATTAGTGTTGAGATGTAAAATTATTTTGTGTCTGTAAAATTATATTTTTAACTAACTTTGTAGACCAAAGTCCTTGTTGAGAAGCTGTGCTTAGCTAGTGAAGACATTCCTCACAGTTTATGGCACACACAAGTTTAATTACCATGTCCTCAAGAACCTACCACCAGTCTTCATTCTAAGCTAGATGAATCGAGTCTGCACTCTCCCAACTTATTCCCCTGAGATTCATTTTAATATTATGCGTCCATATACATGTTTTTTCTGAGCGGTTTATTTTTTTCGCTATTAACCCAACTTTTAATATTTTCTACCCACACATATTACATGCCTCACCACCTCATCCTCCATGATTTAATCACCCTAATCATTTTTGGCCGCGAGTACAAACTGGAGCTCATTATGCAGTTTTCTCTGAATTCTTTGTCTCTTAACCTCTCTTAGGTCCAAATATTGTACTCAGTTTCAGTCTGTATTCTTTCCTCAGTGCGACAGACTGGGCTTCACACCCGTACAGAATAACAGTAAATTATAGTTTTGTATATTTTTGTTTTAATGTTTTTAGGTAGGAGACAGGAAGACACAACATTCTGAACTGCACAGTAGCAAGCATTAATTTAATTTAAAACTTCTTTTAACTTATTTGTAAATGCAATTATTATTTATCATTGTTCCATAATATCTGAACCAGACATTTCTGAAGGATTTATTAGCTATTTTCATGGTATAATTTTGTGAAGCAATATTTTTGTAAAATATGAAGTAAAAAAATTGACTACAAAATGTTTCTTTTTTATTAGTTTTGACATCGGTAACTCATGAAGCACTATACTAGGTTTGTGTTATTTCATGTAGTGATAGATCACTTTATGCTTCATCTCCCAGAGGTAAAAACCAGACAGATTTATATCCATTAATATAATACCAGAATTTGAATTTTGTTCACTTCTAAAATGTATTAGCTTCACCAAATGTTTTATTTCTCTTATGGATTATTTAATGGCTATGTCAGCTCGAACTATGTGCATAGAATGACAGGATGGTTAATGAATTGGAAAAGATGCAGGAATAATCGTTCACGGCACAATTTCAGGGTACTACCCCAGACTTTGACAGATGTGACTAAGAAAAGCTATGAAACACCTGTTTGGATAACTGGTCTCTGGGCTGTGATTTCAAAATAGGGCATCCCGAATATGAAGGTTAGGTTCAATCAAGACTTGGAACTTATGTAGTTACAGGGCTGGGAACACGCAGGGAGCAGGACACGAAGATCCCACAGGCCTGAATAACAGAACATTAAAATTAAAGAAACTTCAACCAGCTGTACACTTTATTTCATAAGTAATAAATAGCAATATCAAAATGTTGTTCAATGCAAAGATGTACATAAATTATATATATATATGTATGTGACAAAGTGATCTTTTATGCATATCCCACCTCAGAAAGGAAAGAAATTTGCTTCTGTAAATAGAAGATAAAACTGAATGATGTTGCCATATGATTGTCAAGCACACAACAGTCTGGGTTCATGTAGGAACTAGTCTAACCACCTCAATGCACTGCCACCTGCTCTTGCAGTCAACATACAAACATGCAACACAGTAACATGCTTTTTTTTAAATTTGAATCTGGCATGATGACATGATCACACTCCTAGCACGTGTTGATTTTAGTATTTTTGAAATTACTTAGTATCCCAGAAAGAATAAATCTCATTCTACAATTCTATTCTAAAATTTTCCATACAACTGTTACACAGTGGTACTATCACAGCATTCACCTAGAGGGACTGAGAAAAACCATGAAAAACATATCAGGGTAGCTGGTGTCCTGGCTGACCTCTGAGTAAAAGTCAGAAGTTTGCTGCTTGCTCAGCATCACAGAAGTGATATCACTATTGACAGAAGCATCAGCAATGCTAATACTAAAGCTCACAGGATATGATCGTGAGCCAGCTTAACCCATTTCACATCACACATCTCACAAATCTATCTTAATATCATCTACTCCACCAGTCCTTCATATAATTTCCCTACTAAATGTTTCTCCACAATATTGGTTAGCTGTAACCATTATGATACATTTTGGATTCCAGATTCTTTCCCAAACACTCCTTATACAAACACTTGCAATAGATGGTCTTCCCTTAAAGTAACAGACTTTGTTTTACAACCATGCAAAGTGGTAAAATTAAAGTATGCCTTGCTTGAAAATTCTGGTTGTGTAACATGCTCCTTGACGCGCACTTCTGTCGATAATCTGTGCTGCTGTTTATTATTTATATTTAGTTCATATCCATTTCTTTGTTAGCACGTAAATGTGTTTTATGATATTCATGTCAATCTGTATACAAGTACCTCACTTCATATTCCAGATAAAAATTAAGACACGGAAATCAAACAGTCCCTCCTTTTATCGCAAAAGCATCACATAAATATCATGTTACAAATCTAAAATTCAGGGTCTGATTTCTGGTTGTCACACCAGCAATATTGAAGATGACTTGTCTCCTGTGATGTTCACAATGTAGTCTGGTAAGGGCACGATAATGGAAGCAGCAAGCACCTCTGAAAAGCTGTAAACTTCTACCAGACTACACGACACAACGTCAAAGAAGACAGTCATCTTCACATGATACATCTTGGGCATTTCAGTTAACAAGTTTCTGGAATATTTCATGTTTACTTTAAACATTACACAGTTCATCTCATTTACCGTAACTGAACCATAGGTTTCCTTAAAAACGCATTTCTTTTAACAATATTCATACACAGACAGAGAATGATCCAAAGGCTAGGAACCAGAACTTCAACTATAGAGATCACATTTAAAATATGTTCATCATTATGCTTTTAGAAATGTAGTTACCACTTTTCCATTGGTTGAAGGTATCACTGAAGTTCAGTTACCATCTATTATGGCAAGTCAAATGCAGGTACAGACACACAAAAATGTGTTGCTGGAGAAATTGGGGAATAATATAACCAAATATTTGACTTTATTCTGATAACAGCCATTACGTTTGTAAACTGTAAATGGTGGTAACACATTAAGGACTGGCTTTGTATTTTCCTGGTCAGTCATCATACTTGTTGCATTGTTAACAACCCTTGCTACTTGAGAATCATTGCACACAATATCTGCTTTGGGATTGTGGCATCTGTTATAGCCAAACAGGGATTACATCCAACTGCTCCAAAACCAGTCTTGAAGTTAATGCATTATTGCGAGAAACTAGCTAGTTTTAGGGTTACCAGATGTAAGAGGGTTCTGATCAAACTAGTTCGACATTACTTCAGCGTGTACCTTCCAAACTAGAGAATTTCAGAAAAACCTGAACCTCGGTAACCTGAGAGTAAAAAGTTTCCTTGCAGAATTAGTCTCACTTAATGGAAATAAAATAGTTTACTTAAATTTTATAATAGATTTGAGGAAATTATTTCTGAATATCATATGGGTAGGAGTTCAGATCCTTCGCAGTGCAAGACATACCTGATCCACACTCGTAAATGTCTTTTGAGGAAACTGAAGGCATGAATAGAAAGCTAAAAGAATTTGGTCAGCTCAGATTTGTGTAAAAAAGTTAGTTTTTATATACATATTGCATTGAAACATTAAGCATTACTGCACAGGAATATCAGTACTCTGTACAACCAATACTGATGAACATGATGTAGCAGTCTTCAAATTCCCTGTGTCATCCAAATTGATCTCTTGTGAAAGTCACAAATCAAAACTTTGTCACCTGTTTTCCATTCTTTCCCTCTTGGCTCACCTATCATTAATTTCTCTTCACCATAATGAAATCAATGAGAATGTGATGGACAAGGCATGTAGCACAAAGAGGCAGTTGATATTAAAATGGATCTTTCGTAAATACGGTGCAGAAAGGGACCATGACAGGCTCTACTGAATATAATGAATCTTTGGGTTCCATAAAACATTTATAATTTTTGACTAGCTGAGGGACTGTCAGTTTTTCTTTCTACAATCAAATGTTTATAAGCAATATCCAAAACACAACCTTACATTGCTTATGTTGAAACTCTAAGCCTGACCACATTGGTCATAGTCCTGTTGCTTTAAGCTATTCAATACATTTTTCCAGGCCACATGGCATGACTACAGGAGTTAATGGTACTTCTAAATAATGTATTATAAACTGAAAATTGTAGTAGGCTAGTGAACTATTGTGAATGCAAAACAAGCCTACCCTCCAGCAAAATTAGCACTTCTAAAATGCGAAGCAGTCACTAGCTCTATGTGGTGCAACAAAACAATGCATTAACTTCCAGACCTCCATGCATAAGTACCAATCATTTTTACACCCACAGTTCAGGTAGAGACAAAATCACAACTTGTGCCCTTGTTGCAGAGAATAAACAATCTGTTTTAAGTTCCAACTATCACATAAGGGCATCATGCTGCTGCCCAATGAAAAACTGCTACATGCACATCAGAGCCCCATGACTCCATAGCCTCACATTAATTTTCATCAAGTTTACAAAAATATGTCACACACTTTAAAAATACACTATTGATATGTATATTACAATAATAACACCAACCTTTGGTACAAAAGAATTCAGCAATCACAAGCGGGGCACACTCAAATGACTTTGTAAAGCGTAATAATTATTACTATCATCAGCTTAATGCACTCTGCGGTTTTCTCAATTGACACTGGCACAGCAGACCAACAAAGTTGTAGCTACAAACTCTAGCAACACAACTGATTCAGGAAATACAGCTCTCAGAATATTCCAGAACTTGGTTAATAAAATCAGCTCTACACCATAACCACACGCTACCGCAAACGTAAGCCCTTAATTACACAGAAGGTATTAAAAACTCATGATGGTACACTGACTGTAAGTTTTACTTCTGTAATGAAGTTTGTATCGTCCATCCCTCACGTTTCTTCCTTTATCACCGTCCCATTTTCCAGTATTTTCTTTTTTCATTATTCATATTACTACTTTCAAAATCTGCTTAATGACAGCAGCACTCAAACATTTTGCCATCTGGCATTTCTTACAAACTTGTGCTCCAAAATTCTTTCTGGGACCAGCAAACATTTAAATATCTCTTCTCTAAGCTCAAGCCCACATGAAGGCATCAAACCTTAATTTTACATGAATAACTCCAGTCTGTATCCAAACACGTATACTTCTGAGTATCAGTCTGTGCTAAGAAATAAACATGCCATTTTCATGTTTCCAAAATATTTTCTATTCCTAGAAGGCAAATACCAACACACAAGGCTATGAATAAATAATATTACATTCACATCACGGATATTTCATGCTATAACTAGCCAATAAAGTCATATTTGACCTTAATTATTTCAAAATGATATACATCTTTTATTTGTTTGTACACAGCATTTAAACAAATATGGTACTTCATTTTCAAAGTTTTCTGTAAGTAGTGTAGTTTTAAAAGAAGCTGTTTACAGCAGCTGACACGCCCCCCTCGGCAGCCACTGATCCATCTACTGCAGCAGTACAACCTCCTGCCAGTAAAACTGTAAAGTATTACAATTCTGAAGCTAACCAAAGATAAAGATGAACAGATAATTTACTAGAAACTGACTTGACATTTCGGAGGTGCTTACTGCCTCCAAAATCAGTATGGTGCAGGCAGTAAGCACCTTGTAATGTCAGTCAGATTCTACCAGGCTACATGTTGCAAAATCCCAGAAAACAAGTTATCTTCAAAGTTGTCACCATAAGAACCTAAAACGTCACCAAACACAAAGCTAGTTTAGAAAGAAAACATGAATATTATAGCATACATATGAATTTTAGCAATTAACTGCCTTGCTATCTCCACAGCTAGACACAGGGTACAGTACCATGGTTCTTATATATAGCACAGATTATTTTTGTATCAATCTTAATATGTGACTCAGAGTTGAATAATGTGCACAAAAGTCTCATTTTGTAGTCTGCTGGTTTACTGGCAAGTTCGAATACCTAAAGTGGCACTCCATGTTAGTGGGCACTTATGTTAAGCTAAAGCAAATCAACTTTTACCTTTACAAATGCCTAACAAAATACATCATCCTTCACTGTCAAGAAATGCAGATATGACTTTTAGAAAAATAAAAGTGTCTATACACACACGCACATGACGGCACCATGTACAAAAATCATGTAAGCAAAAGGTGTAAGTTTGTCTGTATGAAGTACTTTAACTATGCGTTACCTTTTGTTAAAATTCATTACGCCCTACCAAGGTGCCATCAATAAATGAGGGAAGGTGATGTGAAAGTACCATTAGGACAGTTATTGATTGACAATAAGTTTATTTCATAGCTGTGTTAATTTAACACAGAATTTCTTTCGTTACTATTTAACTTTCTGTTGCAATCATTAGATCATCGGCTTCATTATGAGGTTCATGTAAGTGCCCAAAAATATGTCAACTAACAACTGACTGGAGACAATATTACACTATAAAATATAAATATTTCAAAGCAATCTGCACATTGTACAGCCTAATTTGTAAAACTTGCATACAAAATGCAAAACAACACAACCATATATTAAGTCCTCTATAATGTTAAATAATCCAGAAAACTAAATTTAAAAACAGCCCTGAGACCCACAAAACTTCAAACACATTATGCAGAGATATGCCTTCAGCAAGTGAGACCAGGTTTCTAAAGCATTAACTGCTATGCAGTAAAATGTACGTCATAAAGTGCAAAAGTTAGTATCAACAAGAATGTAATGTGAACAAAATGTGATCGCTGTTTATCAGGAATCTCAATAATGACTTAGCAGAGCTCTACAAACCCAGATATGGGCACCCAGCAGACGATACAAAATTAAAATTATCAGCATTATGGGACTGACTGACTACCTCAATAATTTACATCAGAGTCAAAGTTACACTGCACTTTAGTATGAAAACCACACCCACACACACACACCTTAAAAATACTTCAGACTATGGTAACTTCATATCATACATACTACAAATCAAGGCTCAGCTCATAAAATGCACATACGACATAAAAGTTATAGATCACGTATAAAACGAACTGTAATTAAAAGAGATTTAGCTAAAGGAAATCTAAACTCAAACTGACTGTGAATTTATGATCTTCAATGCATGTATGTTCTGTCAGAACATTCAAATACAACTAAAATAGAAGGGTTAAAACAAGCGATGGGGCAAGGTACAACTGAAGGAAGACAGGGAACATGACACTACAGTGTATACACTTTCAAACAAATAACCAGCCACCTTCTATATTATTCTTATACTAATTATAACTGATCACCAACATCTCACTTCAGTTGTTCCTTTCCTACTATTCATTTTGGTGTGGAGACACGGTTCACTTTCGACTGCGAGTATTCATCCTGGATGTCACGATGCTCCCCCAGCAAGTCCGTCTATGCTGTCTGCTGGAGGAGCTTTGGTCCATATTCAGCCTCGCTGGAAGTGGGCTTGTGTGTGATGTTTTCTTCACAGATTTCACATTAGACTGTTCAATATTGATGTTACGGGACCTTAAGGTGCGAATTGGCAGCGCAGCAGCTGTATCAGAGCGTAACATGCGTGTTGTGCCCTTTGACCGTGACGTTAGGAAGGTCGGCAGCCTGTGATTCCCGCCGCCTGCTGACGGCCTTTGCAGCACCTTCTTCTCTGAGTCGGTCCTTACCTCGTGTTCCTCACGCCACTGTCCAGGCCATGCCACCCTCTCATTTTCAACGTCACTTGTGTTCGGCTCGTAGTCTGTGGGAGGGGCAGAAAGCCGCTTGTCTTCTGACCTCGTGCGACGTTTCGGACACGGTTCATAGCCAGAACCAACATCTTCGTCAGTTCCTTGATTTAACAGTTTGGCTACTGAGCTATGCCGGCGTTTTCCGCCCACACTGCATCTAGTGTTCTCACTCCCGAAGTTGAAAGCACATTGTCTAACCAAGGCAGCTGGTTTCAATGGCACATCATCCAGGTTACTTGAGGAAACCTCATTGATCTGTACTGATGCAGGGGAGTTCTGAGTCTTGGCCTCCTGGTGCAACATGCCTCCCACTTTGCAGATCTGCCCACTGCTGCTGTCTGGGCTCTCCCCTGCAAATGTGGCAACAGGATAACGAGTGAATATTGCCACTCCTCCTGTGGGATCATAGTCCTGCATATACTTAGAACAAGATGATCCACTCTGTTGTGGACTGACATCTGGTTCAGTCTTCTTACTACTGGCCTGAGAGGGAGCAGTGACAGTGTGCGGCGTCCACTGCGGATAAGGCACTTGTGGCTGATGCTGCTGCTTCTGACTCAACAAAACCTGCACATATCAGAAAGTATATGTAAGTCTCTCATAGACAAGTAATAGCATGTAAACTCAAGCTTAATTACCCTATACAATGGTCCCTTACTTGAGCACGAGGAGGACCTGGTGGGTCAAGCATGAGTGTTACCACACTGGTGTTGTCTGCTCGCAGCCGTGTTGCAGACCAACGATCAAGTGCACGATCCACCAAACTTTTAGATGGATTGATCCACACTTGCGGCTGCTGTAACACAGTTACGGTGATATAACAAGCTGCCGCCAAACCAAAGCACAGAATTTAATGGTAGATATGACACTCCACAGTGTACAACTATGCATGCTGGATCCCTAAAAAATTGTTAAAATTAGGCAAGAACTTTATAGTTACATTTATACATAACCAGTTGTTACTAAGTTAGTTATACACAGAATGTCATGACAGCCACTGGTGTCTGCTGTGGACTGCAAGGGAAGACATTTTGAAGTCTGATCTGATTCAGAATTTTTTAACCACTGATGGTTACAAACTGTGCTGTCAAATGAAATTCAAACTAACGAGGTCCAAAATTTGTCAAAAGTAAGTTAGAAACACTGAATCTTAAAGGACATATTATCTTGCAAAACAAATTAATTTAAAACAGCAGCACAGTAGCTTCACACAGGTGTACCAACTTGCTGCATTATGGCGAATGAGACGTACGTATGCTGTATTGTGCTGCTGCAGAACATGCTTCTCATTGCGCCACTCGGCTTCCTGCACGGTGGCCACCGCGGCATTTGGGCTAAGCATGTTCCACAGTCCGTCAGTACCAAAGATGAGGCAGCGATGACGACCAACTTCCACTGTAATTATGCCAACGTCTGGTTCTGGAGATACTATGAACTGATCTAGTTCTGAATTATAGCTCCACAGGTCACCTGCAAGAACATCATTATTTATTCAACCTTTCCAGAAGCCTATCACATTCAATGGTCTGATTTTAGCAATACTGGGTGACAGAATATCACATCTTACCAAGTGAACGGGCAACAGCTAGAAAAGGAATCTCATCAATGTGGGTAGACCTTCGTACAGGGCCTCTGTGACCAAGACGGGGTCGATTCCAGACAACTCTTGGTACCCCTGACTTGCTCACCACCTTCCCACCAGACTGCACAATTCTCGCCGCCTCATCTGCACTTTCTGGCTTATGGTCCCTAGTTAAAGGCTGTCCTTTCCACATGGTCTCACCTGAGTTGTGACAGAAAATATAATTACAATTTTCTAGACATCCACAGTTAGTATGAAATGAAAATAAAAATCTGAATTTCCTTCTTCATTTTTCACAATCTACAACCATGGCAAGTAATTCTGTTAAGTTGTACTTTATTTTATATTTTCAGTGACCATACTTTGGTACTATAAATAACATAGCATATGTTCCTTCACCAGGTGATAAAAATGTAAGCATTCATAATGAAATTACCAACTTTTACTGGTCCATGACATACAAAATCAAAATCTAACAAATGTATAACACACTTTGGAAACTTCTACCGTTACCAGACCTGCTAATTCAATTGTATTAATTCAACCTGTCCATACGATTGGAAATAAAAATTGTAATTTCATACATGTTTTCAACCAACCTTCATCCTGGTAACCTAAGACAATGGAAGAATCGCCAACATGACCTATATATATTTTGCCTTTCCTAATAAAAGCTACACTTGCTGTAGTCCCAGATGTACTAGGTAGACCAGATACTGTCTTCGGCCAACTCTCTGAAAATTTAAAAAGTTTGTCATACAATATTATTACCATTTCAATTTAGCTATGTCAATACGGATTTCCAAACATATCAATGTCTTACATAACCTAAACACTGCCATCTACTTCATACTGCTACTCACCTAGTTGTCCCCACATGGAAAGATGGGTTTGTAGAAATCCATCTCGTATAGCCCTTAGAATGTCTTCATCTTTATCAGACCAAAAACCCTTCTGATTTACGATGTAATCCATAAGATGCTCTTTTGCAAACGTTGCAGCTTCTCGCCCGCCATGACCGTCGAAGATTCCGAAGAAAGCATATTCGAGATCTTTTTCGTCTTCCGTCTGTTGATACGCCACAGAAAACATGTCTTCCATGTACTTTCTACCTCCTTGACTGCAGTGTCCCGTAACTCGCAGATTTACACCGATGCTTGGAGCCATTATTCACCAACAACTGGGCAAGCAATAGAGAAACTCCCTACCTCCCCATAAGACAACACATACACAAGACTGAACTTGCATATCGGACCTGGTGTATTTAAATGTGATTGGTGAACAAGTCGTGACGTCTTCATTCGCCATCATCAATACTACTATGTTAGGCAACGCTTCTATTTGGTTTCATATAAAATATATTATTACTATTGCCTTTAGTGGATATTATAAAATAATATAAAAAAGAATCATGTTTATGTATTTTTATAATTACATTTATTTTATAATATATGACTAGTTACGAATGGAAATAAGACTGTGTTTTCAGATTAAAAGTTTGTCGTTTGATTGTTTCTTCTCGGTATAAATTATCGGGAAATGGACGCCGTTGAGTGTATTCTAAATGTTATGTAGAATTATAATTTGTGAATTTGAAATTTGTTTATAATGCGAGCTATTTAAATTGTCGCCGAAAGAGTGAAATAGTGGATTTATTTAATTTAGAAGGGAAATAGTCCTAACTATATTTCATGTATTCCGAGAAATCAGCATTTTGTTTGTGACATTAATGTCACGTGCTTCTGTTGACATTTGATTTGAATTCTGTGGCCGAAGTAACCGTGTCATTACACGAATTGAGAGTACTGCTGTGTAATAATTGTAATGTGCGATTTTTAATATTTTTACAAATACAACAGATTTCTTCCGAAAAGACAGACAATGCCAATTATGGATTAAAACACCTATATAAGACCGGTATCTTGAAACTTAATCTGACGTTCGGTAAGTAGCCAATAACCAGTCCATGCTTTTTAACGACATTTTAACTGTTTTGGGTAAAATATCTAATGGTACGATAGTTATGAATTATGAAACAACGTGGAAGAAAGCGTCTTAGCACAATTTAATTTATTATTATAGCAGAATGTGTACAGTTCATTGAGTTTTATTTCAGGAATTTCTTCACATTAGTTTTTATTTTCGCATTTCATTTACACAGAATCACGTGTGTTTTGTCAACAGTTGATGTTTCTAGTAGACGAGTTGTTAGAATCAGGGTAGGTCAGATATTATAGTGACTTTCCATGGGCTTAATGAATTTAGTTTTCTTTGAATAGGAAGTCTCAGTTCTGACCTTTATGCCACTTTGTTTGATGCAGAACATTTTGTCAATAGGAAGAATTGCAAGTGCCCCAGACCTCGATACATTGATTAATTTAAAAGTATCAAGGTGTCATATGTTTCTGCACCATTTAATTGTCTTTCAGTCCTGTGAATTCATGGTACGAGAACCATTGTTTTATTTATTTAATATATATACCACTTTCAGTTTTATTTGCTACTGGATTTGATATATGGAAACAGCAGAATGAGTTCAGTATTATGTGTTCAGAATTTCGTGTTAGTAGACAAATTGCCCATATTTTGTCCTTTGGTGTGTAGAAGAATGCATTGTGTTTCGCATGAAAGTGTTGTTGTCTTTTATGGAACATCTAGGTTTATCAGATGAGCCCACCACTGTAGCAGAGAAACACAGAACAAATCTGTCACATGTTTTGTAGAAGATGACATAATTTGGTTGTGAACTAGAGAGACTGAAGATGTAACAATGCTGCAAAGATGTTCCTTCTTCATGTTCTTGCTGTGGTTTCCAAGACACTTTTTGTGTGTGAATTTAGAAAAAGCACTAATTAGTAAGGGCATGACATTAGCAGTGTACAGTGCGTATGCTTTGATTTATCCTCAAAGGGACAAAACGTGTCCTCGAATTCCTTCAATATACCGAGTCTCCAGATCAGGGATTTGCAATCTTTTCATTACTGTGGCACACATTGGCTGCATGTATCTTTGTCGAAGGCCACAACAAAGTCAAAATATCATGAATTGTAAGACGAACGATTTCTTTGACCTACAGAATATTTAGTTGTTCACTTGCAGGCAGATAGTGGTTTTATTTCTTCTTGCAAGGGGGTTAATAATAATCTCTCGATGAACCTCTAATATACGAATTCTTAGAAAAGAAGATGACATTCTCGATTTTGTGGAGGAAAGTTCATGATGTTGTATAAAATGTCTGCCTGCCTCCATGACAACGATCTAATTAGCTAATGCTCGTTAGGGAAATCACTGTTCATTATGAGGATCGTATAAGACACTATGGGAGAAATGCAGAGTTATAGAATTTTAAAGTAGGTGGTACATATAGTTACCACTGTACTTAAAAGGGTTTCAGACTGAGTGTAGCCACTGAGAATTTCTGTTTGAGAACTTTTATTCGCGGGAGGAATGTGGCGTTGTAATCACGGTTGCTCGCTGGGCGTGATGTAGCAGCGGATGGGGTTGGCTTGACCGGTCACAACGTCCGCGGCATTCACGGTTATTATGACTCGGGCGAGAGGTGCGAATGAGGCTCCTAGAGCAGGTCTAGACCTGTCCTTTGTGCCTGTTTCGTAATTTTACGACGCTTGTCGAATGGCGATTATTTCCTTAAACAGCTGTTAACCAGTTGATCTTCGTAATGGTAAAGTGTGGTGTTTTCTTTGCGGTACGGACCGATTTCTTAAACATTACTTAAGACGATCTTCTTGCTTCGAAGGATGAAGCAAGAAACGCTTACATATTTTGACAAGGAAATATTTTAGAAAGCCCTCTCTTGAATCTTCGGGACGTAGATGTGGGATAATATTAAAACGGGACCAGTCGATTATTAACAGCATTGAACCAGCTTAGGATGCATTCCACTTGCGGACCGTAATGTTAGCGGAGGTTCCAAAATCAGAGAGTTGGCAATGGAACGCACTTACATCAGCCTTCACCGGGTTTAAATGTTTTCCTACACGTGGGCGAAGTCAGGTGGTGAGGACAGCGAGGCTGGGGGCGCGTTGCCCACGCTCCGAAGCGCACGTGGGTTCGCTTCGCGACCTTGCGTTTCCATGGACCCAGCATTCCTTTCTGCGGACCACCGCCCTTTGGTATGGCCCCCAAATTGTTTGCAGCCGCAGTTGTGGTTTTATTCAGTTGCTCCCAGGATGTTGAACCCGTGTGGCATGATTTACTTCTAGTTTTCTAACCTACTAAAGCCGGAAGTTCGTAAATATAAATACTGTTTAAAAATTTTGTTTTTACCTAAAATTGAACACGTCCCATCTCCAAGATAACAATCAGCTGGTTGATGCTGATTTTAGAAAATAATCGTTGTTTGCTGTGAAAATTATGCGGAGTCGATTGCTGAAGTGGGAGATGCATGTCGCTGCCGTGGGGTTTAATTTGTATGGAATTATTGACGCCATGTGGGAGACAAAAAGGCGTGCCCTTGTGAAGAACTGACAAACAAATGAGACGAAGCGAAGTGGTGGCAGAAAGACAGATGTGCTGAATCCGGCCATTGTTTTATTCATCTCCTTGCACAGACCCACGTGTTACGTCAACCGTTATGTAGTATATGTATCGAACAAAGATCCTAGCCCTATAATAACACAGGCATATGAAGCTATCGATAATGAACGAATTCTAATAACGAAAGATAAGATTTTGCCCGGTTCTGACTACAGCGCAAGTTCTTGTGTAAACTGTAGTGGATATCTGCTCCAGACCAATGCGTTGTGTGAATAAAATTAACATAAACACGTCACAACTGTGTGCGCCTTCTTACTGAATCAGTTATTTCGATGTTTTCATTAGGCCTGATAAGGCGCACGTCGGAAATGTGCGGTAGAACGCAGAAAGGAAACGTAATTATGGCACATCCCGTCTTGTGGTTTGCAGATCGCGTGGCGTTGCCCCAATAACTACTCGTACCGCCCGCATTCAGTGACTCTGCAAAGTGTATTTATGGTTTTCGTATGGTTCTGGGAGGAAACATTCGTTTCCCTAACAGCCTGAACCAAGTATCATCATAGAGACACTTGTGTTTTATTTGTGGTACGAACTACAATTTTAAAAATTTGTGTAATTTTTCTGCTTCAAAGGATAAGCATAAATAACGACCGTCTCCTTTCACACCCCTCCCATTTCTTAACTCAGAGTAGCAGAGAATCTCTTAGTCGCTAAGCTACTCAGTAAATCCCCCCCTCCCTCTTGGAACCCGAAAGTTCATTGCCTTGTCCGCAAGAGCCCGCCACCGGTCCGGATACAGTCTAGTCTACAGTTTTGCAACATGTTTCCAAAAGATCCATTTTAATATTACCCTTCCGATAGAAGTCAGAGACGCATTTCTCATCTGCCTCATTCATTCTACGTGTCCTACCCACCCCATCTGCCTTCATATGATTATCGTAACAATATCTGGTGGTGAGCAGCTACAATTTTTGAAGCTACTAATTACGTATTTTTCTCCTTCCATTCTTTGGAAGTGTGGTAGAACTGCGCGTCATCGCTGCATAGTCCGTGGTTCCTGACGACTTGTCAAACGGGACGCTGCACCTGGACCTGCCCAAACCCGTCGAGCATCACAAAGTAGCGGTCGCTTCTTTATTGTGCTCGGAGGCAGGCCGATGACAGTGTCTGCGCGGGGATCATGGTTCGTATCCCACTCGAGGCATGGGCGTGTGTTCTCCTGTGTAGGCAGAGGCCTTGCGACGGACGGGCTAATCGCTGTTCAAGGATTCCCGCCAGTTTCATAAGTGTTTCTGCGTTGGACCAGGCAGTGAGGCATAATCCGTAGACGTGGAAGGAGTTTCCGGTCTGCCATAGTTTTTGGTGCTGTCGTGAAACTTGGTAACTCACAGTAAGGGGAAAAAACAGACTGAATTTTTGAAGTCAATAATAAATAATAATAATAATTAGCACTGGCAGGACGATGAATCAGGACCTTCATAATTTTAGTCCCATTAGGGGGCCAAATGAAGGAATAGGAAGACGTGAGTGGGCTTGTAGTACGCATGGGGGGCATTAGCAAGTTCTATTGTATGAATTTAAAGTTTATTTAACGACTTTTTTCAGGAGCTCAGACGTTTCAGCGTCTAAGCACGTTCTGTCGGAAACCCTTAAAAATAAAGAGGTGTCTGATTAGCTTCAGCTGGCTCAGGTTGGGATCTAATGGCGGGTCCGTTTAAGCAGGGTAACGAACCATAAAAGTGGCGAATTTCTAGACCAACTGAAGAATGGCCCTTCTCCGTGGAGTAACCTTCTGTTGACGTACCGACGGGTCGATTAAGGCCAGATGACAGTGGCTGTCAGTGAAGTGAGTGGGAGACGCTGGCTGTTAGTGACAGTTGCGTGGAGGATGTGGCAACAGCGGTCAGTTCCCCCTGTGGTGTGACGCTCAGACGCTCACCCCAGTCAGATCTCAGTAGGGCTCCGCCAGCCGCGCGCTTCGAAAGTGTGTGTATGGTGTCTGCGAAATGTACGATCTGCACCGCGGGTAAGTGCAGTGGTGTGTTGTGAAACGAGAGTAACGCCTTGAAGCCGAGGCGCATGCAAATTACGGACCATTTAAGAAACCAGTCCGTACCGCGAAGAAAACTCCACACTTCACCATTACTGGTTAACGCTGATTAAGAAATAATCGCTGTTTGTTCTGAGAATCGCGTGGGACTCATAAATATAAAATGCAGAATTATAGACCGTTCAAGGAAGTGGTACATATAGTTACCACCAGGGTTTTAAAGGGCTAATGGAGCTACAAACGTCGAACGGAAACCCAGGACGCTTCATCCCAGATGTACGCAGCATGTCGCCGAGTCTGTGTGTTCTTTTTTCTTACTTAAGTCTCAACATCTGGCTAACATTTGTGACAGTGAACTGGTTATCTTTTCGTGCTTTATAGTCCAGAAGTCCCGCCG